TAGATATCACAATACCAATGTTTAAACTTCAGAGTTAAGAAATCAATATTAAATGCAATAACGTTTTAATATCCATGCAGTACATATTGTACATACAGCTGAAGGCAAAAGTAGCCCTCTTGTGAAATTGTAAATCTTCAAGTCAGATATTTGATATTAGTGCTGTTTAACAGTGAGATGTTCTCTTTGTCTTTGCCATGATGACAGTACATAATATTATAACAACGATATTCTATCAGTTATCTTTCAAGATACTAGTATTCAACTAAGTGCAACATAAAGGCTTAAATGGTTTAATTAGGTTAGCTAAGCAAGTTAGAACAAGTAGTCAAGTCATTTGACAACAGTGGCTTGTACTGTAGCCAAATGAAAAAAAAAATCTTAACAGGGCTAATATTGATTGTGTGCTGTTGAGGATATTTTCATCCACTCTGAAGTGATTTTAAGTCTTGATTTGGCCACAGATTTCTTTATGTTTCAGCAAATGGAATAATTTGGGGTGACAAATCCTATTTTGACACATATTTTGGGAATATGCTTCGGAATTAAAAAAAAAAAATCAGCAATACCCTACTCAATTTTAAATTACTACTAATGTACTACCCTTTCGTTATGTTGGGGGCTGTTTTTGCCCCATTGACTACACTGTTAACCCTTACTGTAGATTATGCAGTAAATAACTGTAAAATAGCCAGTGTTTTGCTGTAATAAAAGGAAACAGTATTTTACTGTAAAAGGAGCAGGATTTGTATGAAATTTTGTAGTGCAAAGAATAAATTACAGTAATTTACTTTATGTACCCATTACAGATAGTTACTGTGATAATAAATGGTAAATTACTGCTCAACCATTATTACCCCATGTACTTTGATGCTTTATACTGTATATATATATATATATATATATACAGTTCAGTTTTGGTATGTGTATGGTCAGTATTGAGGAGAAAGTGAGACAATGCATTAATGATAAGCTAAATTTCTCTGCAGCCATCTCTGTGTTTTCTTTGGTTCCTTTTATGTTTTTAACATTGAGTATCAGGAGTCAACCAATGTCAATGTCACAGAACTAATTAAAAGGTAAAGATTTCGACGAGATGCAATTAAAGGCAAAAATATTCACACAGAGCAACCAAATTATCACAATCATTTTTATAACTTTGTTTACTTTTCTATAATTAATCTAATTCACCTAGTTTAGCCTATAGTTAAGCTTTTAAATTGCACTTTAAGCTGAATATTAGTATTTTGCTAAATAACTAGTAAAAATGTGTTATTTAAAAAATATCTTAAAAAGCACATACATACATTTTTGCAGAGACTCAATGAATTTGTTTGGAAAACTTTAAATGACGTTGGTAAAAATGGCATTAACAGTATAGTATAAAGACTTTCCTAAATAAATGTATTAATCAGGTTATTCGTTTTTTTTATTATTATTATTACTACAGGTTTGGAACAACATGAGGATCAGATTATTTATTTATTTTTTATTGTTTTGCTTTGGATGAAGTTTTTATATTTTTATTGTTTTTATTCAATGATATGTGCATGATTGTGATAAATATAGGCAATTCCTTTGAAAATATGCTATGCACCAGGGGTGTCAAACTCCTGAAGGGCCGCAGCCCAGCAGAATTTAGTTCCAGCCCTGCTTCAACACACTACCTTTAGATTTAGTTTGATCAGGTGTGTTTAATTAGTATAACTGCACTGTTACTCTGTAGATTGTGCAGTAAATAACTGTAAAATAGCCAGTGTTTTGCTGTAATAAAATAAAACATTTATTATTTATTAACACATATTATTTTACTGTAAAAGGAGTAGACTTTAAATGAAATTGTGTAGTGTAAAGAATAAATTACAGTAATTTACTTTATGTACTCATTACAGATAGTAACTGACAATAAATAGCAAATTACTGTTCAACCATTACTGTCCCATCTTCTCTGATGGTTTATGTTGCTATTTATAGAGACGTGCATTTTTAAGGCAGAAAATAATGATTTAGGCATCACCACACACTCTCACAGGCTGTCTGTCTTATTCTAAACACAAAGGTGTTAGAAAGAGTTTTCAGAAAATGCTGGCCCTTTAAGGGAGCCAGGTGTTTGATTTGTTCACTGCTGAGTGTGCTCTATTCTCTGTCCATCAATTCAGATGTTGAGTCTGATAGGTTTTAGGCAATTAAATAAGAATCTACAATGTGTAAGTAAAATGTGTTTAAATGTTTTTTAGGGTTTCTATAATAAGGCTGTGTTTTAAGTTATATTGTTGTTATCTTGAACTGTGTACTTGAAAGCTACATTGTTAGCTAGTTAGCCTCTCATATAACTTCTTACATTACTTTTGTTGAAGTATATTTATTTATTGGATATTGCATACTGCCATAATGTACAGATGCTAACAGTTGTATGTATCTTTCTGGCAACTAAGCCAAAATTAAATTCCATAGTCTCAGTAAGGTAACGTGCACAGAAATCATCACAGGAAATCACAAAAACATGATACACATAGCCATCCACACACAAAAGCTCCACTGTCCGGTCCCAGGTTGTGAGTTTGTTGCCAAGTATTTTTCAGAGCAGTGTTTCCACCTATGAATTTATAGTAGAAACAATAAAAAAGTTTGTTGTCATGAGATAATTATAACAATAAAAGATTGGATCCTTTGGTTTTTCGGTGTTGCCAACTGTATTTTTATTTTTTATAATTATTTTAAACTTTTTATTGAGATTTGACAGTTTTTAATGATCTAAAACTTTAAAATTTAAAATAATTATGTTGTGTTTTTTGCTGTTCATTTGCTGATCTACCTTCCTGCAGATTTCAGTTGCTATCCATATCAAACACACCTAAACCAATTAATAAGGACCTGAACACCACTTGATAATTACAGGCAGGTGTGTTTGATATGGGTAGCAACTGAAATCTGCAGGAAGGTAGATATCCAGGAACAGGATTGAGCACCCCTGCTATATACCATGGGGGTCAAACTCCAAGTTCCTGGAGAACTGCAGAGCAGCAGAGTTTAGTTCCCACCCTGCTTCATCATTACCTGTAGATTTCTAACAAGCCTTAATTAGTTTGATCAGGTGTGTTTAATTACAGTTACAGCTTAAAGTCCTGGTCACACTGCACGTTTCTCCCTATAGACTTCCATTCATACGCATGTGAATACTTCAGACCTGGAATGATAGCTCATGCAACAAATTTCATAATTTGCAGCATTGGAAAGTTCAAGCTTGGAGAACGCTGAATGCGAAATCACATCATGTGATTGCTTGATACCAATCAAAGATCAAAACATGACCTCTCTGGCTTGCTTTTTCAATCTCTAATTATTTTGTTTAATTCCACTACTGGCTTTGTTTAATTCCACTTCGCAGTGCAGTATGACAGAATTTTGCATGCTCAAATGTTAATGTGACCGCAGCCTTACTGTGCAGACCTGTAATATGTTAGACAATATTTATATCTGCTGATTTCTTAATTTTGTTATACATTTTCTGTTATTTGTTTGGTGCCAAAATAATAAAATAAATTTGTCTGAATAATGTTATGCCTTCTGTTTTTTAATAACAGCTAAGAATGCTGATTAATATTATTAAGATTAAGATTATTTTAGTAACACTACAATAACTATATATGACATACAATTAATGTGTATGCAGTATAATGCTGTGATTTGTAACACTACATTACAGTAATTAACTGTACACAGTTTCCAGTTAGTTACCACTGCTGCTCTATTACAGTAATTAACTGGCAACACTGTTGCCAGCCACTCACTGAAATGGTCTAGTTACAGTAATTAACTGGCAACACTGATGCCAGTTACTTACTGTAACCAAACTTTTACAGTGAGTGGCTGGCAACAGTGTTGCCTGTATTCTACTGTAAAAAAACCTGGTAAGGTCTAACAGTGTACCATTATGAAAACTTTTTTTTTTTCATTGCAAAGCCATGACACCAAATAATCATGCATTCTTGATTGTTGCTGGTTTTCCCTGCTTTTACTGTGGATCATCAGTTGCAGTGCAAAAAAGCTTAGTTGTAAAAAATATCGGTGTGTTTATGCACACACACTATATATCTGCTGTTTACATCTGCTGTTTTACTTCACAGAACGCCTTTCGCACAGGCCTTTCTAAAGGGTTAATGGTGCCAACTGATGATCAACAATAAAATGACAAGTTGTACCTCTTCCTAACAGGGAAAACCAGCAACAATTAGGAATGCATGATTATTTGGTGTCAAGAATTGGCAATCAAAAAATAGTCATAGGGTAGAAGAGCTACTAACATGATGAAAGGGTAAATTTGAACAGTACACTGTTCTTAACTTTTTTTTCTAATTTGTTTATTGGGCTACAGTGGCCCAGTAGGTTGTGCTGTCGCCTAACAGCAAGAAGGTCGCTGGTTTGAGTCTCGGCTGGGTCAGTTGCTCTCCCCGTGTTCGTGTTGGTTTCCTCCGGGTGCTCCGGTGTCCCCCACAAGTCCAAAGACATGTGGTACAGGTGAATTGGGTAATCTAAATTGGCCAAATGTGTGTGAATGAGAGTGTATGGGTGTTCACCAGTGATGGGTTGCAGCTGGAAGTGCAACTGCTGCGTAAAACATATGCTGGATAAGTTGGTGGTTCATTCAGCTGTGGTGACCCCGGATTAATAGAAGAACTAAGCTGAAAAGAAAATGAATGAATATGTGTTTATTATTTAAAACATTTATTCCATTCAAAAGCTTTTATTCCAGCCAAACTAGTCTTTCACCTGAAGAGAAAACATTTAAAACAGAAATAAGGAAACATTCTGTAAAAAAAAATCTTGCTCTGTTTACCATCACTGAGGAAATAATAAAAAAGTTTATTGAAATTTCATATGAGGCTTGACAGTCTGCTGATGCTCTCTAGTGTAGGAGAAGCAGCACTGCTCTTCGACTGCAGTGTCAGTCTATTGATCGGTCAGCCGCAGCGCCTCTAGCGGTGATTATCCTCACTGCAGCGGGATGACATGCAGCCATTTTTTGCCTGTATGGGAGCCCTTCCCCCTTCAGCATCTTCAGCAGGACAGTGAAGACGAAAAGCTGGAGCGGGACAACGGATGCCAATCGGAAGGAGACCTCACCGAAAATGGCCTCGCCGCGAACAGTCACCATTGTCGCCCTCTCCTTTGCACTGGGGCTCTTTTTTGTGTTCATGGGCACGATTAAACTCACCCCAAGATTAAGCAAAGACGCCTACAGTGAGATGGTAAGGGATCGTCGTTTTTACAGCACCATAATGCACAAACAAAGCTCCAACGGCTTTGTTTTGGACTGTGTGTAAATGTAATGCGTTTTTCTGGCTATACAATTTATGTTTGTGTGATAAATGTGATTTTTTTTATTTGTATTGGCTATCAATCTGAATATGAATCAAACCGCAGTTGATTTAATATAGCTAAGAGTATATAAAAATATTTGTACGTTAAATTAGATTGCTTATGTAAGATGGTTGGATGTCGTTAGAGCAGTTGAACCGTGTATTAATCGCAAAGTTCTTTCATTACGGCATAAATAGGTCAATTATGACATCACAATGCGCATCATCTTCATGTTGAACAGAACAAGTGGACTCGGGCCTGTGACGTGTGATGGAAATTTCTGATATCGTTCAGCTCAATGGAGCTCATGATTAAGCAATGGCGACGCGTTAGTTTCTAGAAAATTCTGTCTTCCATCTGCAGGTGCAGCGGCTGCTGTGATGATGTCATGGACGCGATTAAATATTGTAATTTCGGAATAATTTACAGCACATTTCACAGCAGTGCAGCTAGCTCAATGTGAGCATTAAAATTAGTCGTGATGAAATGTTTGATTATTCTGTGTTATATATACAGGGTTTCTGCGGGGTCTTAACAAGTCTTAAATCTCAACATCCAATTTTTAGGCCTTAAAAAAATCTTAAATTTACTGAAATATTGTGTTGTAGGTCTTAAAACTGTTTTAAACAGGTCTTAACCCCTGAGACCCTGCGTCCATTACAATGGACATCACATGACATCCCATTTTTCTGAAATTTGGAACATAATTCAGGTCTGAAGGGGTTAATTTTCCTTTGTTCATGTAAAGGTACCCAATCTGGCCAAAACACATACAATCACCAACAATCCATCTCAATAAAACTTTAACTTTTTATTTAAAAGGTAGTTTTTTGTTTATCAGAATGGTTTAATTATTTTCCTTGCAATAACATTTGTTTAAAAGTGCTCCATGTATTTACTGCTGAGGACACCGACCTGGACAGATTGCTCTGCAAAGATATTAGTTTTTAAACCTATTATGTTTAGAGAAAAAGTGTGTGGATTCAAGTAAAGCTTGCTTGTTTTACACTATATTTAAAATATTTTGCTAAGAAATAAAATCTAAAATATTGCTGTATTATTGTTTTATTAAATGTATTAAAATCTAGTATTTGTTTGATAAGGCAAATAAAATCTTTTACATCTTTAACCCTTTATGTGTCTAAAATTTCATTCATAATGGTCTTAAAAATGTCTTAAAAAGTCTTAAATGTAACTCTGTGAAACCTGCAGAAACCCTGTATATAATGATGTTTGTCAGGGTGTGAATTACAGCAGAATACATTTGACGTAACTTTTTTTTGCGATGCGTATCGCAGTCTTTATGATTGGTTTGATTGTAGTGATGAGCGTGGACGGCGCAGATTAATTTCAGTTGTTTAATGTTGATATTGAATACATAATCAGACAGTAGATAGTGTATGTTCAATTATTTCAAAATCATAAAAATTGATACTTTTAAAACGTTACCGGTGCCAAAACCGGGACATGAACTAATACATTTTAGCCACAAAATTATTTGTCAAAAATATATATTTTAATCATCAGCCCCTTTCACACAGTGATACCGGTAAATATCCGGAAAATTTCCGGAACGACTTTACCGGTAAATTAAAAAAAGCGCTGTTCACACAGGCGAGGACGTTACGGAAATTTTCCGGAAAAGAGCATTCACACATCCATTCCAAAATACCGGTAAATTCTGACATCATTCACCACAAATGAGCTTTAAACGGCTGCGCTTGTATTTGTAAACATTTGACTAAATTACAAACTCTGTGGATGATCAATATTGTGAACAACTTTCTCAGGATCACTTTCGCATGTCGAGATGTTCATAATATGTGCGTGTGCAGGCGCTCACAGGCTGTTTCACAGGCACACGCAAAGCTTGAAGGTAAACAAACAACGGCTTATCATAAGCATCTCATCGATGATTATTTACACAGTTGGCATTAAGAAGAACATATAAACGTGATCTGACTAACTTCTAGCAGCTAAATGTGTCTGGAAAAATATTCAAAGGCTTTTATTCTCACAAACCGCGCGGACGTAAATGCGTCTGACTGTTGTGATTGGCTAAAGCAGACGTCTCACGTCAGCACGTTCTAGACGTGCACGCGCTTATTACGGCAATCTTCCTTCTGCATTCACACAGTGCAGCATTCCGGCAAATTGCCGGTAATGTTACAACTTCTCTTTCCGGAAAATAGCCAGAACGAATTTACCGTTATTTTCAAAAAGGACCTGTTCACACATACACACCTACAGGAAAGGTCTGTATGTGTGAAAGGGGCTATTATAATTGAACAACATATATCTATATTTATAGTAAGTTTAAAGTAAACATCAATTCATAAGCCCCTTTCACACATACAGACCTTTTTCCGGAAAGGTTGTATGTGTGGACAGGTCCTTTTTGAAAATACCGGTAAATTCGTTCTGGCGAAATTTTCCGGATATTTACCGGTATCACTGTGTGAAAGGGGCTATATTTTATATATTTGAATTGCATTAAAATATTTCTTTTGATGATTTGTTTGTTAGCATGAATGCAAGATTTGCATTATGCTGTTAACATTACATTAGCTTACTACTGACCTGTGGAAAGGCTCTCATCAAAATCAGGGAACACCTTTTTTTTGGGTTTGGGGCTTGTGACTACTTTAACATGGACATCAGTGATCTAATGATTTGCCTTAATCTGAATGAGACAATTATATGATTCAGGTGTTTACATGAGCTGCTTTTTAAATGTTACATTCATGATTCCCAGTTACATGTTATAGCACAGATCCAGTAACGTCATAGCGTCACCAGCCTTTAAATGTTTCCTCTGCAGTTTGTGTCTGTTGTCCTTTAAGACAATCAAAAATCACTGTTTGCGTGGCAGACTCTTGATCAGAGTATTGTCTTAATCATATTAAAATCAGAGTATTGGTGTCCATGTAAAAAACACTTACTGAAGGTGCCAGATAATGCCACAAGCTTTCAGAGACAGTCCATTCCTCACCTTTTAGTTGATTCCAACTTAACCCCCCTCCCCCCACCAAATTAGGCACCAAAATTCATATGCTGATTCGGTCCGGTACATACTGGTTACAAAGGTACCAACCCTAGTATTGTGACAACCCTAGTTTGTAGAGCAACTACTTTAACAATTGTCTGCTGTTTATTATTTCTGTTGTCATTTCTCTCATAGGCAACTGTTCTGAAACAAGCGCAAATACAATTCTATTGAAAAGTTTGGGAACGTCTACGTCACCGCGAGTTGTGGTCGGCCATGTTTTAGGACTAATGCAGAAGCGTTCAATGTAAACAGATGCAAATCACACCAGACAAACAACTAGTTTTATAGTAATATCTTTTGAAAAACATCTTACAAACACTCAGAATTAAATGGTCTGACGTGTATTTACCTTTATAAACGCTCTTTGTGTGTCTGAGAAGCTTATAATATGCATTAAATAACATTCGGTATCCAGCAGTGAAGTGTAACAGGAGAAGCAGAACACAGACACAGAAGGGGCCGATCAAGTAAACGAACAAGTTTATCTGTAACTAACAGGCCATTAATGAGCTGCTGCAAGAAAACATCTCCATAGATGATTCTCTTCATTACCTGTAGTACCAGCACTTACAGTTTATTATTGATGAGTGTAAATATATGATACAAAAAAAATCAATAGAGATCAATGGGAATCAGGCTCCCTTGACCTAAACACCCAGAATGCATTGCCTTGCTTATGACATGTTCCAGAGCTCTATAGCCTGAGGGTGCTTTCACACCTACACTTTTGTTTCGGAACCTGTGTCGTTTGCCCGGTTGCGCGGTTCGTTTGGCATATGTGAAACCACCAATTGCTCTCGGATCTGCGCCAAATCAATCACTCCGAGATCGCTTGAATGAGGTGGTCTCGGCTCGATTGAAACAAACTCTGGAGCGGATCGATTGCAGTGAGAAAGCAAACGATCCGAGCGTGGTTATTTCACTGTGTTTTATGGATATGTAATAGACATACGGCTATATGAAGAGAGAATTATGAGTAGGGCGGGAAGTTTCGCGAGTCTCTGGATGCCCGTAAACGAGTGATGATCTCCTGGTAATCTCGCGTCTCCCTCCCGGTCCTTAAATAGGCATCAGCGCGCACCCTTCTCACACCGAATCGGCCCTCACTCTTCAGACACGTTGAGCGCACCTTTTCAAACACCACCAAACCACCACCTCCTCTGACAGCTGAGCGTGACTCTGCCAAATAAACCCTGGCACTCTGACCAATGTAAGGAGAGTTTACTCGCGCGTGACTTGTTTTAGCTCTTTTGGCCTGATTAGAAACTTTGCAGTGTGAAAGTGAACCGCAACAAGAGCAAAGAGCAACAATGTAACAATTGTAATCTCTGTTTCGGAACAACTGAATCGATTCACAGGTGTGAAAGCACCCTGAGTTTCAATCACAACAGTTGATTAGATCATTTTTTTCTGCCCATGTTTCAGATTTTGAAAACTATATTTCTGATCTGCTTTCAGAAAAGAGCATACAAGAGTTACGCCAAGGCTCTTCCGGCGCTGAAAAAGATGGGCGTTTCTTCAGTGCTTCTACGCAAGATCATTGGTACTCTTGAGGTGGGATGTGGAATAGTTCTGACCCTCGTGCCGGGGAGACCCAAAGACGTGGCCAACTTTATTCTGCTGCTGGTCATGCTGGCCGTGCTTTTCTTCCACCAGCTGGTCGGGGATCCTCTAAAACGCTACGCCCACGCTCTGGTTTTCGGGATTTTGCTGACGTGTCGACTGCTCATCGCACGGCAGGCTGAGGATCATCCTGAGCGAGAGGAGAGACGAGAAGAGCAGATCAACGCCCAGGAAAAGAACAAAGTCAAAGTTTCGTAGCTTCATCGTTTCCGCGCAGGAGATCCACGTTTCTCTGATGGTAGAGAAGGTGAAGAGGGAGGAAGAAATAAAAAAACGACAGTAGTCCCAAAAGGTGATTCATGCCCCAGAGCTACATATCGGAAGCCAGAAAAAACGAATCAGTTCTCATGTTATCCTTACCTCATGTTCCAATTGTAAATCTCAAAATTCAATACGGACAGTCACCATTGAGGCAACTGTATTGGCTGCAGGTTTGCAGCGAAAGATTAAACTACTGTTATTCCCTGCTGCCTGTATTTATTATTATTATTATTTATGCCCTTATTAAAGGGATATTTCACCAAAAACTGAAACTTTAGTCATTGTTTACTTTCTTTTTGTTAAACACAAAAGAATATACTTTTAAAAAGTTTGAGATGTATCCAGCTGCAGACCCACACACGTTTCAGTACACACGATTTAGGCAGAGACGAACCATGTGTGAATAATAAAGGATCAGTCTATTTATTCTTGTCTATCGACGACTAAAGCCGCCTTTCCGCTGCACACAACAAACGACAAGTGACAGACTGGAAGTCATTCAATCTATTGGAGAGTAGTCCGGGAGCTATGTGGAGTTCTGATCATCTCCATATGCGGAAAATCCGGATCCGATTTGAGCAGGTCCATGCGCGCCAGTTTTTTTATTTGTATTTTTTTTAATCAGAAAAAAAGTCTATATTAAAAAAAACATTTCTATTTGTTAATTAGTAATAAAACATACTATTGTTTATGTTGTTTCCACATTCCACAATGCTTAGCTCTCCATGAGTTTCTAGTATTCATTCATTCATTCAACAATGGCAAACGCACAGAGAATAAAAGCTCTTAATTGCTTTTGCACTCCTTTATTTCAGACACCACGAGTATCAGCTTCTCTCCCATGGTGCACGACAAAACTGAAAATTCTGTGCGACTGCCACAAGGGGGCGTAATCCAACAGTCGAGTCCGAATGTCATGTGCAGTGGAAAGGCGGCTTTACTACTTGAGAGCATTATCGCCACCTGCTGTATTTCACAAATATGGCGATCGAGACTGTGAACAGTTGCAGGGGTGTCAAACTCAATTCCTGGAGGGCCGAAGCCCTGCACAGTCTAGTTCCAACCCTGCTCCAACACACTTACCTGTAGGTTTCAAACAAGCCTGAAGGACTCAATTAGTTTGATCAGGTGTGTTTAATTAGGGTTGGAACTAAACTGTGCAGAGCTGCGGCCCTTTTGGAACTGAGTTTGACACCTGTGGTTTAGGGTTTCCCATTTCAGTCTTATTTCATTATTATATAGTTACGATCATTTTAACATCTGTGTGGATTTGGTACTATGCAAGTAAAACTAATTAAAACAGTATTGACTATTATTTGATTAGGCAAATAAATACTATTCAATGGCTGGAGTAAAACCTTATAGTGTTATACATTTATTAAATGTACAATGATTTATAACATGTAAAGATGTATTATACATATTAGCTTGCTATTATTTATTTCATTATAATAAATCCATTATGTAAATTAAACCTGTCCAATTTAGATGGTTTATATATCTCTGAAAAATGTTTCAGCAAAGCCAGCAAACGAGTATCTGCTATACTGACTCTAAATAATGATCGTCTGTGACTGTTTCTCAACCACATTCCTCGAGGCCCACCAGCACTGCATGCTTTGGATGTCTCCTTTGTCTGTCACACATATTACAGGTCTTTCAGTCTCTGCTTTCAGTGTTTGGTTACGAAGATGTGGAAAATGTGCAGAGCTGGTGGTCCTCCAGGATCGTGGTTGAGAAACACTGATCTATGATGACTGATAGAAAACTATTCAATCTATTATATTGAATGACGATCGACGTTTACCATTTGCCTGTCTCAATTGCCATATTTGTGAAGCAGTATACACCATACCTGTCAACATTGGGATGTGAAAATACATGTTTAGATGTTATTATTATTAATTATGTGTATATGTCTGTTCAAACATGTACCCAGACTATTGCTCCGCTTCAAATCGCGTGTACAGAATCCGTTTGGGAATCAGCGGATATTTATCACTATGGAACGTGTCTGACAGTCACGAACCATATGACTGTTTTGAGGATTACATAGAAGGACGACAGCACTTTTAACACAAAGGAAGGGAATCACGCTGTTTTTATATTTATTTTAAAGTATTTTCATGCCTAAATAAAACAAAAGCCAAGAACAGATTCACATTTAAGAGCAAGGGGTGGTTTGGCGGTATGGGTTACGTACAGGGAGGATCGACTCTTTAATGTATATTGCCTCCCTTCAGACTGAAAATACGGGAGAAATACGGGAAAATACCTTTATGGAATGATAGCGGGATAGAACTGTAAATTACGGGAGGGTTTGGTATACACTATTGTCTATTGTGTGCACTATTTATTAGCTATATCTTTATATAAAAATATTTGCGGCTGGAAGGGCATATGCTGTGTAATAACATATGCTGGATGAGGTGGCGGTTCATTCCGCTGTGGTAACCCCTAATTGATAAAGAGAATAAGCTGAAAAGAAAAGTAATTAATAAAAATATACGGATGAAGTGGTCCGAGAAGATGTTAATAACATTAACATTTGTCGTAGCCAAATATGGTTTGCCCCTGCCTAGCTTGTGTGTCCTGGATTGTGTGTGCTAAAATGTGTGGGTGTGAGCTGGATATTATTGAAAATGTTGGAAACCTGTAACCATTGACTTCCATAGTATTTGTTTTTCCTACTCTTTTAAGTCAATGGTTACAGGTTTTCAGCATTCTTCAAAATATTTCTTTGTGTTCAACAGAATAAAGAAACTCATAAAGGTTTGAAAGCAGTAAACAGTGAGAATATGTTATTTTTTTGGTGAACTATCCCTTTAAATGAAATCCCAAATGCAACTTTTAAGAAAATACTGTGATGCAGTCTACTGAAACGGATGTTTTATTTACTTTTTGAGCAACTGTTAATGAGTACTACACGAAAGTGGTTCTGTTTACATTTGTTTTATATCAATTTAAGAATTATCGTACTTGTCCCATGAGTCAGTTTGTTAAGAAGCGAGTTTTGCATATTATTTATCCTCCTGTATGTTGTTTTTAACATTTGATTAAACCATTTCAGAAGTTTTGTCTCTATTGGATCAATTTTGATTTTCTATTTTGACTTGAAATGCGCAGTCCAATAAAAGTCTTATCCTTGGAGTCTTCTGATGGTTTCTTTCTCCTTATAAGATTCATTTCAGTACTAAAATTGTGTCTTTTTCATGTAGTGCAGGGGGGGGCTAAACTCAGTCCTGGGCTGGTTTTCTGCATAGTTTAGCTTAAATTTTCTTTAACACACCTGCCTGGAAGTTTCTAGTGTACAAGAACTTGCTTAGCTGGTTCTTGTGTGTTTAATTGGGGTTGGAACTAAAATATGCAGGACACCGGCCCTCCAGGACTGAGTTTGGACAACCCTGATGTAGTGTATTGTCCTTAAATCAATTTGTTCTAATTTGAAAAACTTCATGTTTTGGTTTACTAATGAAATATTCGATTGAATCGGGTGTATCTGAAAAGTGATACTAAATGTACACCGTTGAAAGGAGACTGTAGGTTAAGATGAAGAAACCTCCTCTCATATGTCTAGGTGTTAAATAAAATATATGCTGCTTCTTTTGAGTAAAGATGCAGAACATGAAACTGACGTGTTATTTGATCAGAATGCTCATTTAAACTGAATTGCGAGTTGATTGTTTTCACAGAACGGCTCATGTTTGTGCATGCAGATGTTGTCATTAAAACCTCTATGCAGTTTACCAGTGATTTTGGATTACAGAATTAAAAACATAACTTGTGATTTTTCATGGCTTGCTCACTTTTATGACATCTTTAAAATAAGCAAAGGAGGGCATTGCCCCCTCAGAAAGAGTTTGTGCCCCCCAGTTTTTATAAAGGATTGTTCACTCAAACTGAATATTCTTTCTGTCATTAATTATTAACACCCCCATCGTTCCAACCTTCAGAACACACATTTAAATATTTTAAAATATATGACATAGCAATTGAATTATGAGAATGGCTATATCATGATGAACAGTGCTTTATAATAACAATAATAATTCCTTACATTTCTATAGCGCTTTTCTTGGCACTCAAAGCACTTTACACATAGGGGGAGGGAATCTTCTCATCTACTTTTTCATTTTTTTTTTTTATGCAAGAAAGAACATTACAAAGATATAATATGAACAAAGAGACAAAGAGGGTTACATAAATAGAATTCCAGCAAATTAAACAAGTTTAAATGATTTACACTAAGAAAGCATTTTAAATGCAGTGTTGGCCAGGATGCCGGGGTTAAACCCGTACTCTTTTTCGAAAGACATTCTGGGATTTTAGGGTTTATGCCGAAGCATGCTAATAGGACTTTTAATTTGCAGTAACCTGTGTTAAGCGCTTCCGGCGAACTGTATGCCAAAGGAAAAATCTGCACGTTTATAAGGTCTGTTTTCTTTAAAAATCAGCGATCCCTACTAGCTGAGTGATATCCGATATGAAGTGGGTCTCAGATTGTACTAGAAGCACTGCATTAAATTACATTTTCCCCGCCATGTCTTTATAATATGAGCATTTATTTTACCCCAAAGGAGCGTCTGCGCTATCCTGCCGATTCTAACGGGCGAGTGCGAGTAAAAGGCCTTTTGTCTCGTTTTACGCTTGAACAACTAAATGAATGCCAAAGTTTATTTAACTGAATGTATTTTAATTATATTACAACATGAATGCTGTAAAAGGAACCGTATAAAATGGAAAAACTCACAATAACCGGTCACCGGAAGTTTATAAGTATATGGGAACAACACTAGCTCGCCATATACCCAATTATATTAATCTATCTCCATATTCTACTGCATCCCAGAATATTACACAGCACCAAAAATGTAAAAATATATATATTGAATATATTTAATATATTTTTGTGTATGGCAGACGGCAACTCGCCGTGACGCAGATTCCCGGGTTTGTGTGCTCCAATCAGCTGAGCCCTCTTCAGCGCTCGCCATGACAACGAGATAGCAGTGACGTGCCTTGTAAAAATTTGCATCTGCATTCCTATAAAGCTCGTGTGCTCTCTGTCAGCGTTGTCAGTTCGCTCGGTGTTGCTGTTTGTACTTGACCAAGGTAAGTTCAATACCGACGGTACGAGTGGAGCCACGCCAATCTCACGAAGTCCGCTTCGTGAAGCTTCACTCGGGCCCGTCTGTGCTGTAGTTCCTTGTGGTTTACGTACATAAACGTAACATCGCAAGGAATATTACGTGTTTGTTGCTCGAAATGTGCCGCCGAGCAACATCCAGTGAATACTGGCACGGCCTGGCGCCCGGTCTTCTCGTGCACTCCCTGGGGCGAGGCGGCCTTTGAGCCCTAGGCAGGGAACAAACAACCCCCGAGGACCCTCAGGGAAACACGGGGGGCCGGTAGTGGGACCTCGCTGCGAGGGTTATGGTGGGTGGGAGTAGCGAGGCCCACTCATCGTCTATTTTAAACTATAGTTTCAAACTTTAGTTTACTATAGTTTGAAATAGACACCATGGTAACTGTTATGAATTAACTTTATGCGAAGAGCTTAGAATGACCAAGAGCAACAGCCCCGGATTCCGCCATTTTGAAGTGAAAGCGATCGGCCGTCCATTGGATCTCATTGCTGTCGCGGTGGACAGCAGCTGCTTTGTTTTTATTTAATTTATTCAAAAAGCGCGTTATTGTTTCCTAAATTGTAGAGTGTCGCCTCTTGGTGATTCTAAGCTCTTTGCTCTTTGTCTGACTGTTGTAATGTTTTGCTTTGTTTTTCAGCTAAGCTGTTGAGCAAAGAAGGACTATTGAAGACAACAGTTGGGTTGAGATGCTTTGGATGTCTTTGAGTTGAGACAACCGTGGGTTATATTCACGAGCGCGCGCGCGTTATAATGTTTCCGGGTTGTTTTCTGAAAGTTTGTCTTGTTTGCATGTCAAACTAAATAAACTATACTCTTTCTAAACACCTGTCTCGTGTTTTATTTGTCCTCTACAGCAATGCACTGTCATGTAAGTCTGTTGAATGCATTTGTATGCAACACAGTAGTCTAACAAATAAATGGTTGTTATAAATGTACCTTCATTAGTCAACATTTGGTGTAGGTAATAAAAAGTTAATCAATGATGTCCTAAGACATAAGGGTTATGTTATGGTTGTTTCATAACTATATTTAATATTATTCTGTATGATTAAAACCAGCAAATTATACTATATATTTAACATGTCATGTACTTACTGTTATTTTAAAATGTGCTTAATAAAATGTCCTAAGACAAGAATGGGTGTTTTTTTATGGCAACCTACAGTAGGATTAAGGTTGACTACAGCAGGTATAGGCTACATACATCATAGGGAGTTTTTTTAATGACCCAAATCAAGTAAAATGTCTTACTCAAGTACTTTTAGCATGCAAAAGTCAAATTTAAGTATATAAAATACAGTTTCCAAAAACAAAATTTTGTCTTGTGAAAAGGACTAGTGTGGTGGTAAGAAAAAAAGTAACATCAAGTTATATATATTTATAAAAGAAGTTGAACAAGTTGTCATAATATGTAGTCATTAGATCATGTGACCGCTAGATGGCGTTCAATTAAAAGGAGCGTTCATTTCAAAGGAGCGCTACCCTGTACTAAAATGGCGGCTCTATTGACGCATTCCTTCCAATAGACAACAACAGTGTAGTCGACATCTAATGTAAATATCTATGGTAAACGAGTAAAGCCTGATTTATACTTCTGCGTCAAACGCCGGCGTATGCTACGGCGCTGACGCATAGCCCTTCGCCGTGGCCATCGCCGTCGCTGACGTGCACCTCTCAAAAAATGTAACTACACGTCGCAACGACGCGTAGCGTAAGCTCTGTGATTGGTCGGCTTGGTAGCGCTGACGAGTCTGGGCGGGACCGAGAGGCACAAGAATGGCGCGACGCCGCGCGAGCGATTATTTACAAGTGTGGAGTACCGTGAAAGAGCTCCGGATGGAAAGTTTTGTTTTGTGTTTACCTCATAGTTAAATTTGTTGCACGTCCGCCGGTTCCTGCCTCAAAATGAGCGAGTTTGAGCCACTTGTACATCCCGGAAGTGTTCAGGAAATGCAAAATAGTAGCGAAGAAACTCGACACAGAGGAACATTTACACCTCACTGCCAACTAGCGTTTCGGAAGTGTTAATGCAGACCGACAGACACAGCGCGCAGAAGTATAAATGCACAGCCACGCGCGTTGCCTGCGCCGTGGGTTACGCCGGTTACCTGACGCAGAAGTATAAATCAGGCTTAATGTTTTGGGGTGACAAAATGTGATGTTTTTGTTTGACTACGTTATTCAGTAAGATCATACTGCAACATTTAATAAAATAGGAATTCATGGATATAAATAGGATAACGCAATCAAATTTTAATTAACAATAATGAGACAGTTATTCGTATAGTGAACTAGTAACGAGTCAAACTAACAGGATAATAAACAAAAAGTCATGCAGACATTCAACGAGGCATAATTTAAAGCTTTTTGAAGTGAAGTCGGGTAAAATGGCATTTTTAAATAATGTGAAATTTATTTATCCATATTTACAACAGTCATGGTAATAAATATAAATGATCACTTTAATTGTAAAATTAAAAATGAACTACTACAAATTAATAACGTTAATATTTCAATAGACATTATATATTAACTAGCTAGACGCCGCATCCATGGTCCACTTCGGTCCGTTGCTCCGATACGTCAACGCAGCCGCCATCTTAATCCGGTCATCAGTGCCCTGCATAAATATTTATGAGTGCGCTATAAACAGAAGCAACTGAACGGAGATGCAGTGATAAAATGCAGTAACGCTTATATGTATTGACTGATTATAGTTTTATGTTAGAAAAATTCAAAATTCCCTCTTTTTTGACGCCTGAGCAAGAGCTGGAGGAAGCAGTACCGGAAGTGAACCAGTGCGCATGTCTAAACGGTCGCAGCAGATTTGGCGTTTGGTTTGAATGGGTTGTTGCAGCGAGTTAGCGACCGAAGCGAAAACGAGAGACGACAACAAATAATATTATGTAGCCACAAAATGGCTGGTTTATCTAACCTTACGGGGTTAGTCTCCGAGCCGTCCGGAGAAGCAGAGTCGTCCGTCTCCTCCGTGAGCAACAGAAGTTTGCGTTTGGCAGAAAAAGAGAAGAAAAAAGGCGAGGCGGATCCCTTTACTGCAGCGGCGAAGTATCTGTCTCAATGTAAGTGCTGCCAAAACACATCAGAAATACTTTACATGTCTTTTTAAAAGCATAACTATTCAATATTGTGTCAAATATCCCATTATTTGTTAACTATTAGTTGTTTTTAGTAAACTAGTTAGTGGCTTCGTGGTGTTAGGTCTTTTGTTTGTGTTGACGGGGTCGCTTCATCATGTGCTGTATCCACATGTAGCGTTAACGTTAAATCTTATAAGTTGTGTCTGCTTGTGTTTTTGCATGTTTTAGTTAAAGCTGGCACAACAGTCAGAGGCAATGATGAGCTGGAGAGGAGTATTTTGGTGGTGGAGACGGTGGCTGTCAGTAAGGGTCTTCCCCCTGAGGTCATCACAGTGCTGCTGGATTTGGCCTTGAGTCTCAATGCAGGTAACGTTAACTTAACTTTATATATTCAGGGGATGGTTGGCTTTACTAGATGTATTTGTTTCTGCTAGGATTCAGGTTATTAAAGATTTGTTTTGATCTGAAAATAGCAAAGTAGAATAGAAAGTAGCAAATTTGGGCATCATGTTCAGGCCAAAAACGACAAGATACCAAAGTAGATGTTGGGTGTTCTTGTTTGCATTCATTTTGTGTAGGTTTTGCCATTCAGGATATTCACAAGTGTCATTTAATTAGATGGAACAACATGTGTCCTTCTTCTCTATTGTAAACAAACCATATTAAATCATATGTTTGCATCAGTCTGACAGAAGGCTTGCACTCCAGACTGTGGTGAATGCACTCAGCACTAATAATTTCCCATAAGCTGTGTATTAATAGTAATTATGTTCAGTCTCTTGCACAGACGAATCGTTTAATTTAAGAAGACCTCGATGTATTTGCTGGAGCCACAAGTATTCATTTTGTTTAGCCTGTATATGCTTTATTGACTCTCAAAGTGCTATCATCCCCAACTTCCATGTTATGAATCATCACTGACCTCAATTTCAGCTAAAACTATAAAATTGGTTTAAAGACAAAATTCTTATTTCAAATATTTCCCAAGTGATGTTTACCTTTAGAGAATCAGAATAAGCTTAATTCAACAAGTGTGTGCATACTATGCAAACAGTAGGGCTACACAATGTATCGTTTCAGCATCAAAATCGCAATGTGCACATCCGCAATAGTCACATCACAAGATATGCAATGGTGAGTCCGAATTATACTCGACCGGGAGCTACAAAATTATATTTAATAACTATATTTATACACAACTTATATGATTTATGCAAAAAAATAATTTTGTCTTGTTTCTTGTTAAATATCTACATTTTAAAGCGAAAACAAGATTATCTTACCCCACTGGTAGATATTTTAGCTTGTTTTAAGAAAAAAGCTCTTAATTTTAATTTATTTATTCTGAAGGAATACAATATTTTTGCTTGCTTTTTTTGATAAGTGCATTAAAAATGAGACAAAGCAAAATAAGAAAAGCATTATTGCATTGTGATTATTCACTTTCTTTACCTAAACACTATTAGACCCATCAGAAAACTGTAAAATACTGCTATTCAACCAATCTGGTGAAACTGTGTGTATCGCAGAAAAAAAAAATCACAATATCAGATTTATCCGATATCGTGCAGCCCTAGTTTACAGGAGCTCAGGCTATCAACATTTTTTTCATTAGCTACAGAACAAACCATTGTTGTGCAATGACTTGTCTTATTAACTGAACTTGTCTAGTTAACCTAATCAAGCCTTTAAGTTGCACTTTACTGAAATCTAGTATCTTGAAAATAACTAGTAAAATATTATGTACTGTCATCATATCAGACAAAAGAAATTAGCTATTATAAATCATTAAAACTACTATGTGTAAAAATCTTCTTTCAGTAAAAACAGCTCTTGGCAAATATTTGAAAAGGTTTAATATATCCCTGGGGAGCTGATAATTAACTGTACAAGAAACTCCTGCAATCTTGCTGGTCATGACACAGGGTTACTGGTTTCAGAAACATCCTGCAAGATGTGGGACGGGGTCATACTAAAAGTTAGGGTTTGCTCTAAGTGCTTTTTGTCTTTCATGATAGATTATTAACTTAATTTTATCCCACAGGAACTCCAAACTGTTCCCGGATACTGAAATTTCTCATCCCTGCCACAGTAGTGCCACAGGAGGCCATTGTGAAGGGGGTATCATGGCTGTGTGTGGGGAAAATGCCAATGAATGCGCAGGTAAGGGCTGGCAATTGAACCTGATCATTAAAACAAAAATTTTTATCTTTTTTTTTTTTTTTTTGGCTTGTTTGATGTAAAATATTTTTTATAAAAACAAGTAAACAATAAAATGTACAAAAATTAATTTGTTAATGTTGAAGATATTATATATTATGTTAATTGCAGGACTACTTTAATCATTAAATCTATTTATATCAAACTTTTTAAAATTTTCTGTTATTGTAAATTTAATGTTCCCTTCTGGGGCGATTTGCTCTGCAGCGTAGTAGATTTACAAGACGTATCATACCACACACTTAATACAAACATTAAGCAACCTTAATAATACTAAGAAGCAGCAACTATCTCTTCCCATTAAAATTCAGCAAATCAATTGCACAATGAACAAATGAAAATTTAAATCTGTTGGTCCTTGCTGAAGGGACCCTATACCGAGATCCTGAGAGAGGTATTTGAAATGAATCAACAAGAGGATGGGATCATATGTAATTTGATGGACTTTTGTTAAAACGTGGATTTCATACAAATAAGATAACCATGGCACTTTTACCCTTAATACTTTACTGCAGCTATTTACAGCCTTAGACTTCAAGTTCCTCTGTTTTACTTTTAAAGAAGCAAACCAACAAATCACTGAAAAGGTTAAAATGGATTCTATATAGGCCATATAAAATGCCACCATCAGAGTCCTATCAATTTTAAAATTTGTTTTAACCGTGCATATAAAAAAAAAAGACAACCAAAGAATAGAAGTTTCTTATCTGTTTTTTCTCTTTTTATCTGTTAATTTGCATGTATGTCACAGTAGGGAAGAAAATATCTGTTTTTTTTAAAACATTTGTTAACTTGTTTTCTTTTAAGGTTCTATTTCTCCGCTGGGTACTCACTGTTTTTGACCTGATTGACTGCAAAGATGACTTAAGATCCATTTATGGCTTCATTTTCAGCTTTGTGACAGAAGAAACTCTGGTTAGGATTGTCTTGCAAATGCTCATTTTAATTCAATGTGTTTATCTTGATATCGTTTTGTGAATTGTTTTTCACCTTAATTTAAAATGTACAATTTTTTTCTTGCAGTGCCCTTTTATTTGCCACTTGTTATATCTTTTAACCACACGGGAACATGGTGAGTTGTTAATTATGTGGTTAATTAATTTTTAAATGTATGCGAACGCTGCAGTATTACAGGATGTTATTCTGTTGTTCTTCTGCTTGTTTTCCCCTACTCAGTTCACCCGTACAGAGTCCGGAAACTGTTGGATATTCAGGCAAAAATGGTAATGAAAAAAAAATAAACACCTCAGTATCCTTTATTATAAATACATACTTATTGCAGTGGTGAAGAATGTTTGTTTTGACCAGAAATATTTCATATAACTCTGATTTTTCCTTTTTAGGGCAGACAACCATTTCTCACACAACTTCTAGCCCTCTACAAAGTGTTTCGCCCAGACTTAGTGACACTCTCTCTTCCGTCAAGAGCAAGGGTTAGTGTATTCAATACTGTTTTCTCTAGCAGAACTTTTTTTTCTGCAGGTTTTTCAGGCTCTTATACTGCAATTGTTTTTTTTCCCAGACTGGGTTCAAGAACCACAACTCCACCTGGAAAGTGGCTCTGAGTGCAGTGCAGAGGAAGAACAAAGGTGCTGTTTTAGTCGACCAGAGCCTCAGCGTGGATGTGAAAGAGAAACCATCCTCTAGAAAAAGGGTATGATTCATCTGTGCAGTACAGTGAAGAGCTGCTGGTATTTACCTAATATTTGAATCTGACATGTGCCTAGTTTGCTTTAGGTACCAAAGAAAATATGTGGGTCATATGCCAAGATTCTTCACATATGGAAGATTTGTTTTTTTTTAAGCAAATTCTGGTGCGATTGATCTGCTAGTGAAAGTAATTTTACTTGAGTGTGTTCACAAAACACACAGAAATGGATGCAACTTTGCTAGGAAACTTAAAAACAATATATTCTAAAAAATGCATCTTTGATATCTTCTTTTGGATGGAAAAAAAATCTGAAATATTGAAAATAAAACATTTTTTGCCCACCATACACCATGCAGTTTTCAAAATTTGTTTAGTGTATTCCATCTCTAAAGTAACATAATCCAATGCTCTGAAATCATAGGAATGCAGGACACATAAATAAATGTATTTAAGTCTTTAATTTATAAACCAAATGTTTTTATTTTATTTTATTTTTTTTACTAATATCTACAGAAGCGACATCACCTAGCAGTGCCTCCCTTGAGCTCAGCATTTGATAGTAACTCCAGCAAGAAGGGGTTACGTCTGCAGGAGCTCCGTTCCTTCAAAGAGCTACTGGAGAACATTCACAATATAGAGGTAATAGACACCTTATTTGCTTACAGAATACGTGTTTGTGTCCAGTGATGTGCTAGGGAAATTAGGGGAGTATTTATTGACTGTAGCAATAAAATATGACATTGATCTCTTGGATCTTTAAATGCAGATGCGTGCATAGCATATTCATTCATCACCTTCAGCATATCTGATTTGTAACAAGATGTCTTTGATTTTTAAGTCTTAATGTCTTAAATTTTAAAAACAAAATTAAAGCATTATTAAAGCATTAAAATTAAATCAGGCATCAAAGTCTTACAATGCTCAGCAAATATAAGTACACCCCTCACAAATCTATCTTTTAAATTCATACTATTTAAATAGGAAGCTGTAGAATATTATATTTGTACAAATACATTAGATTAGTCAGTACTGAAGCCAATCCTGGAGCTTATCTAACAAAATAACTTATGCTAACGGTCCAAAAACTAGTACATGCAAATGTATATGTTATAGAAAAATATTAGATACAAATTTAAAAAAGAGGAAAAATCAAGAGAAGCAAAAAAAGTAAATATTTTGGTGAAATATTGTAGGTTGTATTTTTTTACATTTTCTAAATATGTTTGGTGACTAAATTATTATTTTAATAAATATAACTGTTTAATAAATCTGTTTTGTTTAAATGCACCAAAATACATTGCCTATATTCACAGAGTAATGGATAAAAATATTCATTTTCAAAATGGGGTGTACTCAATAATGCTGAGCACTGTAAATTGACTGAAATGTGGTGTTATTAGTCTTAAATCATTTTAAATGGCTATTAAATTTTCTTTTGTCCATGTAAAGCTACCCATTCGGTACAATCAACAAAAAATAAAAAAGGCTCAACAAAAGAAACATTATTTTACTCTTTTTATCAGTTTTGTTTAAGTTCTCCATGTATTTAGTTACCTGGTGAGGACGCTGACCTGTACACTTTTATTTATATAGTTTGTATGTTTATATAGTTAATAATAGTTTTTAAACTTGTCATTTTTTTAAAGAAAAGTAATGCTAAAAAAATGTATATTTATATATCATGCCGACAGTTAACTCTCTGCAACTCTTGCATGGTCGCCCACTGAAGCCAAGTAGGGCTGCGCCTGGTTAGTACCTGGATGGGACACCACATGGGAAAGCTAGGTTGCTGCCGGAAGTGGTTTTAGAGACCAGCAGGGGGGCACTCAACCTGTGGTCTGTGTGGGTTCTAATGCCCCAGTATAGTAAATAAGACTCTGTGTTGCTTAGTAAGAGATGTCTTTAGGATGAGTTGTTAAACTGAGGTCCTGACTCTCTATGGTTGTAAAAAATCCCAGAATGTCTTTTGGAAAAGAGTATCCCCATATAATAATTGGCTTCATCACTGTCTCCTCTCCACCAATCAGTTGGTGTGTGGTCTGGCGCAATATGGTTTCTGTCGTGTCATTATTATTATTATCATGAGTTTTCTTGTTTTTTAAACATTATTAAAAACAGATATGCCCAAAGTAGAGCTTGCGAGCCAAAGTTGGCCCATGGTAACCTTTGATTTGGCCCGCCACCCCATCTAAAAAAAATGTATGGGCAACTGCTGATTTAAAAAATGTGGCTTAGAAGAAATAGACAGAATTTTAATGGGGCAAGTAAAAATATGTTTCACTGGCCATTAGAAAATTCCCCTGCTTTTCTTTGTACAAATCTTCTGACATTTAATTCATAAAGGTCTTAAATCTTAAATGTGACTTGGTGAAACCTGCAGAAATGCTTTGTAAACAAAAATATTTTAACTACCATGGTTTTGCCACATGGTGGAGCTAAACCTCCACAAGATTCATCAGCGAGGATGTGAGGTCAAGTCTGCTACCTCCTTACGGTGGTTTGATGCTACTGTTGATGAAAGTTTCACAGCAATCACCCTTCACAGATGTAAAATTAAATCTTACAGAGTTGTTTAATGCTGCCATCTCTGAGCGCTAGCAATATATTGCACTCTCAGTTGACAAGTCATAAAATTACAATATTAAAAGCCACCTTGTAATCAGTCTACTTGAGGTATTTACATGCCAGATAAGCCTTGTTAAATGTTTTATAAGTCTGCTGGGTTACTTCTGGACAAAATTTAAAGAGTCACAGTGTTCCTTCTCCACTTGTTAGGGAAGTAGTGAGAAAAAAAGCCACTGAAGTCAGTCATGTGCTAGAGAAAACAGTTCAGTTGTGGCCACGGGGAAGGATCATTGATTCTTTCTCGGTGTGGAAACCCCATCATTAGAACCAGTCGTTTTTCAGATGAATGATACATTTGCTCGTTAATTACAGAAAGGCTCAGCCATGTCCGTTGTCAATCTGTCACTTAGTTTAATTTATTTATTATGTGCTGAAGTCCCATATTGAGAGGCAGCTGTTGGTAGAGTGACACAAATTACAGTTTTTGGAAAGAGCGAGTATGTAGAATGCTAAAATGAGTTTAATCTGCATTGTTGTACCAAACTGTCAGCTTCAATACAGGTCTCAAAGGAGTCAGACATATGAGTGAATCGGTTTATTCGCCTCCAGCTGTTTTGACAGCTCTTAGTTATGATATAGCATCTCTGTTAGGACTGCACAATATATCCTTTCAGTGTTGATGTTGCAATATGTGCATCTGCAATAATCACAGAATCTGCAATGTTGAATCGTTGTTCTAGTTCCATTGAATAGATTATAGTATCATTAACCAAAATTGAAAATCAAATGTAACCATAAAGTTACCAAAATGTTTATCATTTGAGTTTTTTTATTTTTTATTGTATGCATACATTCATAAAATATTAACATCAAAATGTATAAATGTGTTACAGAGTGTACAGTCTTAAAATTGGAAAATTAAATTATATATATATATATATATATATATATATATATATATATATATATATATATATATATATATATATAAACATAAATAATTAGGTAAAAATAAAGTACAATCACACTATTTTAGAGCAGTCTTTAAGTGGAGGTTGTAACAAAAATTGTAAATGAGTGACAAGGATTGTTTGTTAATTTAGGAGAGCCTTTTTTATGTATTCCGAAAGGGGAGACCAAATTGACCAAAATCTGTCAGACTTTATGTTTGTCTTAGGTAAGCTTTTCTAATGGTAGCCATGTGACAATTTGTGATATCCACATTTTGAAAGATGGAGCCTGTGATGCAAAGTAGCAAAATACATTTTTTAACTAAATATAGCAGGACAATAAATAACTGTATTGCATCTTTTACAAGCAGGTTGTTCACATCTAGAGTCAATAAATACAAAGCTGAGGTCATGTCAAAATTTAGCTTTAGAATATTTTCCAGTACCTTGTGTAATTTCTTCCAAAATGGCAAAATTGTGTCACAGTGCCCAAAACAATGAATGAATGTACCTTTATCTTTTTTACATTTGAAACACAAGTCTGTGGCATTTGCAAACATTTTCTTAATATGTATTGGTGTAAGATATATATCCTTTACATTTTTTTTAATTAAGCTCATGGATCCCAAGAGAGGTACATTTGGGGTATATATTATCACATACAATGTCCCAGTCATTCTCTTTAATAGTTTGACCATTATTCTTTTTCCAAACATCCTTAAGTCCTAGCCAGGTAGAAGTGCAATTGTTAGACAAAATGTCATATTTTCTTGTTATCAATCCTTTTAAACAAGATGGATTCAGTAAAAGGTATTTGGACCACCAGTTCTACACATTTTCTTTTCTCCTTAAATACACCCCTGATTTAGATCATTAGCAGCAACTGAGGGTGTACTCACACTAGGTACAGTTGCTTTAAACCATGCCGAAGCGTGATTGTTCCCCCCTCCCCTCTTCCCCGACAGCCTGCACTCACACTGCATTTTGAGATCTGAACCCGAACACGCTTGCTTCATTGATGCGGCTGTTCAGTTTAAGAGGAAAAGAAGTGCTCTCCCTCTCTCAGCACAGTGGACATTATTTTAGTTGTATCGTTTTAGTTGTTTGAGATTCAGTGATGCACAGTCAGATATTTTGGCAAACAGATCCACAACTTTTGACGATCATAGATCATCATAAAAGTCATTGTGCTGCAGGTGAGTGTTTTCGTCTTTAATAAACTACGACAGCTTGCATTCATCGAAAAGTAAGAATGAATAATAAATCCACATGAAATAGTTCCTTAAAAGTGATGTTGCATCTTCAGTTTCGGGCTCAGGTGTGCTTTGCACTCACATTACAATCGTACTGCGCCAAAGCCCAACCGAACCGCACTTAAGCCCACCTCTTTCAACCGGGTCAGGGCTGGACAACTGAACTGTGCCTGGGGCTGATTTGGAGCTCTCACTCTTGTCAAACGAACTGGGAAATGCACCTGGGCATGGTTCGGATTACCTAGTGTGGGTGCACCATTAAAAACCTACAATGGGTGTGACGGACAAAGGAGAGATCCAAAACTTGCAGCATTGGTGGTCCTCCAGGAACATGGTTGAGAAACACTGCTCTTACTCCACTGGGTTTATTAATGCTTGTGATTTAGTTTATTATATTTTATGCAGATGCAAACCCCTATAAAATCATCCCAATGTATCTAAAGTGATCAAGTCTTTGCGAATAGAGTATTTTTTTGTATTATAATATTGAATATTATTTTTATCTGGTGAAATTATACTCCGTTTCGCAATATATATATCGTAAATAAATTGAACAATGCAATGTTAGTTTTTTACAATATCGTGGAGCCGTAATCTCTGTGTTGTGCTTATTCACATTGCATAGCTTTTTTCTGCTTAATGCATAAAGCCATAACTTGGTTGTTTTCAGCTGCCTGCCCAGATGGGTTCGATGCTGGGATCAACTCTGGCTCTGCACTACCTGGACTGTGTACAAGACGAATCTGCCTTCCTGCGGCTTAACTTTTGGCTCGGACATTCGTTGCAAGAGGGTAAATTCTCTGTGCTGTAATGCCAAACCTTTCAAAGCATATGCAAAGTTCTGTAGTCCCTCCCGGCCATCATGTTCTTCTTTTTGATTTATTCCAATTTTTTTTTTTTTTTTTTTTTTTTTTTTTTTACAGAGTTTTTACTCTGTCCTGTGGATGGGAGTTCAGACAACACTTCTGAAGCCTGTCGCTTCCTAAACACCATCCTCTTCTCACAGCAGTTCCTCCAGGTACAACCAAGCAACAGAAGACAAATATTACCCTATAGGAAGCCTCAAGGTTGGATGTTTATTTTGAGGAAAATGGCAGGTTGTTCTATAAACCCCAGGACACCTATCAGTCATTTTCTGACTTGCTTTATTCCTCTTCTGTGTTCTGGAATGTTCCCCTGCTTGTACGGTCCTCAGGTCCCATGTTGACAGGATTTGTGTTTGTACATTGTTCTCAGGAGGGTTTCTCCAGCACAGAGAGCTTCCTTTATAAATTCTTGAGTGTGTGGGATGGATCTCTGCTTCGGCCACAGATTCTGGATCTTCTCAGTGACATCCCCTTGATGCCAAGCTTCTGTGAGTGTTCTAGTTTTACCCTCTCTGCAGTCTAAAATTCATTGCACACACGGAGACTGAAATGTTTGTCTGATATTTTTGCATATTAAACAATAAATACAACCTCATGTTGTGTCATTCACAAAATACACAACTTTTGTCTGTCTTTAAAAAAAACCTGATTGGGTTAAAACAACAAGTTCTGATTTTTTATATCCGTAGCAAGCCGTGTGATGGACAGTGGTTCTTAATTGTGAAAACATAGGTGAAAGTAAACAGTTACAGTGCTGTCTGACACTGATTAAATTTAAGCTGTTTGTAAGTTCTTTTTTAAACTGGATCATAAATTCCTCACTAGGGGCTTAGTAACTACTGGCTATTTTGTAACTAAATTTGTTCTCACTTCAGTTGCACCACATGTTCTTAAGGCAAACCATAGTTAGTAGGTCGTAAGCTCTCCATAAAGACATGCATAGTTGGATTGAATGACGTAATGTCCCATAAAAAGCATTTAAATCGTTAAACTGTTTACAAAAATCTGCAACTAATGCATCTATATATAACTGTCCTATAAAAATAAAATAAAATGACAAATTACAATTTTATAGTACATTAAATTACAGTCAGTCACTACAGTCGGCGGAAACACCTTCTTTGTGAGCCGTGAATACACAAAGTTATCAAAACATTAAACTTGATTTTATTTTAATATGTCCTTCATATGAAAGAAAAAAAAGCAGGAAGAAAATCACAGTCATGAAGAAATTCTTTTTTTAATTGATCGATACACTAAACACAAAACACACTTTGATAGAAAATTAAACTTCTTTTACAAACTGAAAAAATGTGAGATTTGGGAGGAAAATAAGGCTGTGATGCCCCATTCACACTAAGCTTCACCGTCAAAGCTTCTCTTTCACTTTGAATGGGTGACGTCAGGCATTGCCGAACTGCATTATGGATCCATCAACGCCGCTTCAGTGGTGTTGCTCGCTGCAGAAGTTGGGAACTTCTCAACTTTTCCAGCGCCAACAGATGCGCCAGCCAATCTGATCACTTTATCCAAATACATCAGCTCAGACTGTAATCGATTGTGGATTACTTTCATTAGCTGACGCTGCTATGACAATCGCATCCGCCCCAACTTCAGACACCCCCTTGGTCGAGCGTTGACGCTGAAGCATCGTGTGAATCAGGTGTGAGTAGCGGGAGATCCTTCTTCAATATTATCGCAAGGTCCTCAATGTAAACTAGTCCCACCGTCATCTCTTTTCTACTGTTATACTTGGTGAAGGCTGCTGTAAATATTTGTTTGGAAGGTAGCGCTTAAAGTAAGTTCGGTGGTGCAACACAAAAATATTTAGTAATGTGTAAGTTGTAACTTTAGCCTGGTTTATACTTCTGCGTCAAGTGATCAGCGTGACCTATAGCGCAAGCCCTGCGCGTAGCCTTGCATTTATACTTCTGCACGCTGTTTCTGTTGTTCTGCAATAACACTTCCGAAACGCTAGCTTGAAGTAGGTGTTTATTTCTCTGTGTCGAGTTTCTTCGCTGGTGTTTTGTTTTTACTGGACACTTTCTTAATGTACAAGTGGCTCAAAATCGCTCATTTTGAGGCGGGAACAGGCAGACGTGCAACAACTTTAATCAAAATAAAACCACAAATTGACAATCTCCATCTGGAGCTCCTTCGGCACTCCACACTTGTAAACACCCATTGCATCACGCTAGTGTGGCTCTCACCTCCGCCCACACTCGTCAGCACTACCAAGCCGACCAATCACAGAGCTTGCGCTACATGTATGCGTTACATTTTTTTAGAGGTGTGCATCAAAGTCACTGATGGCCATGGCGAAGGGCTATTATTCCAGGCGAAGGCTGCACTGTAGCATACGTGTGCGCTTGACGCAGAAGTATAAATCAGCCTTTAGTGTCTCTAAGTCACAACTACGCTAGGTTTTAACTTGCGCCCTGCTGGTGCAACCGGCCCAAGGATATTTTTAGCAAAGTGACACCAGGACATTTTTTTGAATTTTTATCATGTATTATAATGTATTATGTATTGTTTTTATCATATTTTATTATGTATTTTTTGGCTGATACTGATAATTCTTCAGACTTGGAGGCCGATGGCCGATATGTATAGGCCAATAATTATAAATATTTTAAAACGTTATATTTTAAACAGCAAACTTCATAAAAGATTGAACTGCTCTGATGAACTGAATAGTCTATACTCAAACCAAAAAAAGCCATAACTTCAAAATCGCAAGGTGATTATAGACCTATATTCACCATTTCACATAAATCAGCATGCAAAAAATAATTCCTTTTCCTTACAGCGAATTAACATGCAACTGACTGAAATAATAGGTTAAATAACAAAAATTGGATTTAATCAACAAGCAAGTTTAATATATTTTAAATAAGATGTAAATGAAAGAACTAAGGACTAAAACCAGCTAAAATGTTCTCGAATAAAACGTGTTACAGTAATGTACACATGTACAAATATGTCATGTCCGAAAAAGCTAGATACAGAATGTATTAATTTAGATAATGCAGCATAAATTCATCCTATTTGGTGTTTTAGATTCTTTTGAACACGTGTAGCTGCTGCTTGTCAATCAGACAACGCTTCTGTGTTCGTTCTTGCTGTCAATCGCGGGGAAAATGATTGATGAAAGGTTTTTGATAAACCGCTGTGAGTTTCACTCAACTGCGGGCACAGATTTGCCCTCGGAGCCAGATTTTGATCCAACACCTGATCATTGAGCTCAGATGACTTTATGACTAACACAGAGCATAATATAAAGACAGTATGTGTGGCAAGTTGAGAGCCCGTATTCTGCATCCAGTGACTGGTGCACCTAGGCTCTCCCCCGTTGATCTGTGAAGGCTGTCAGATGTGTGTGTGTGCACAATGAAACTATTTAAATGGTATTAATTTTTAGGATCAACTAGAAAAAGAATTAAAATGAATTGTTAATGATACACTGAGCACGGTTTCCGCTGCATTCTTTCTTCCATGGTGAGGCGCCACACCATGGTTTCTCAATTAAATGTTCAGTTGTTGCTGTTTTTCTTTTTTAGCAGGTTTTAATCGCACTAAAATGTATTAAAATGTAAGTGAATTATAACAAAGCAAACTTTCTTTTTAAAAAATCGTAGTAGTGCTGTACGTTATTTGTTTAACCCTTTTAAGGTTACATGCTTACTGACTGACTGACTGACAAGGCTGTGTGATGCGTGAAGCCAGCAAACACAACGTATAGCTTTCAGTTATGATGAACATAAACGCTACATAAACACTTAATCACAATTCAGCAGTGTTTATTTGAGAGCGCACAGGAAAGTCTGTACTTGAGCAGTGTATATTTGAGGGCGTACAAGAAGTTTTGTGCACAAACGGAGGAAACCAGCTTGCAAGCAAAGAGATTTGCATGCTCGTATTACATGAATGCACTCTCGACTTGTAATACTGCGCTCATGACATTTGTCATTGAAATAACGCCATAGGTAGTTGGTAGATCTGTGTGAAAGGCCTGCCACCACAGCTGGAAAAAACCTAGAAGAAACACCATTCAGATATTGAAATCTATGGAAGTATGGAATATAATTATAAATAATTTAAAAGTGCTGTCTTAGTTTCTGTAAATAATAATGGGCAGTTTTGTCATTATAACTAATGCCAGAAATGACAAATTGTCTAAAAATTGGTGGGCTTTTATCCATCGGAGCAAAAAAAAAATCCTTTTGCAAAAATCTCTAACATTGTTTTCTTTGTCTTCAGACATGAACAAGCTTCTCTTTGAGCCGCTGAAGCAGCTTTATTTTACCTCGACAGTATTTTTCAAGGTTTGTATGTTCTTGTTCTGTTTTTAATGCACTTTCTCTCGGTTTGTGTGAAGCACAGGCATTACTGCAAGAGCCAGATTATGTCAATGAATGCTAAAGCAGTTCGGAGATAAGTGAATTACTCTTTCCACGCTAAGCGGTGGCATCTTCACACTTTACTGTTGTTTGAGTGGTGTTATTTAAGCTTGCAGCAGTTGCAAGCAGGTTCAGATTTTTTTGCACCATTATCTGAATGTGCCTTTTCACATTGTCGTCCTCATAGTGTAGTGTCATCGAGTGTCTGAATAGCATGCTGGTGAAGTGGCTGACATGGCACTCAGTTAGTGCATCAGAGGGCAGTTTGGATATCAGTCTTAACAGCAACAGCACCATGTGAGTATCCCACAATTATTCAAATGTTTGAAATCTAAATATATTATGGTTTCAACCAACTATAAGTCAAAAAATAAATAAACAAACAAAAGTTTCATTGGCATGTCACATTTTTTCAATTTAATTAGACACAATGTAAGGTGCCTACTGGCAGTAATAAGACTTGCTAACACTTTATAATAAGGTTTCATAAGTTAGTTATGTATTTACTAGCATGAACTAATAATGAACAAAACATTTATTTATCATAGTTTAACATTTACTGAATGCATTATTAAAATCTAAACACTAATAAATCCATAAACACTGTTATAAATCTATTGTTGTTTGTTCATGTTAGTAAATGCATAAACAAATACAACCTTATTGTAAAATGTCACTCAAGACTTGCGCATATTTATTGAAAGGGGAGGAAAACCCTATTTGTAGCTTGTCTAAGAATATTTTGGCCCCGTTTACACCGTCAGGTCACCACCCAATTCCAGTTAGTTGCCTTTATTTGATGTTTTTGCCTGTCTGTTTACATGTTCTTTTGTGACCCATATGTGAATTATTACACTTGCCATACAATTTACGACGTTGCGTAAAAAATTGTCTTGCTTTTAGCTCTGCGAAATATGTGAAATTGGCTCAACTTTAAATGATTTTGAGGCGGAGGAGAGTGACAGGGCCGTCATCATAGCTTGCACCGACGGTTTATATATGGTGTCCTCCACCATTCTGAGGAATTTGTTGGTATGAGAGAGATCTCAGGTCTGGTGTGAGCAGATTGTGGCGGGCTGTAATAAGGAGCTGTGGGTCCGAAATTTTAGGATGAGCGCACGCACGCTTTTCCTTCTACGTCTTTAAATCGCGGAGAAGTACCACATTGTCGCAAGTTTAATGACATACTGAATGCCTCAATAAAGCAAATCTGCCTGTTTACATGATTGATTGTCACATATCCGATTTATATCTGATTAATTTCCACATATGAAAGAGTCCTGAAACCATTCTCTGAATATCTGAATCCTGGCGTTTTTTTTCCGTGTTTACATTGGGTCACATTTAACTTTCAGTGTAAATGGGGCCTTTGTTTAGAATGTATGTTTTTAAATGATTTTAGAGAGCATTTTTATTCAGGAAATATTTAAAGTAAAATGCTTAAAGAGGTGGAAGGATTTTAAAGTACTGATCATTGATCAAATTGAAACAACTTCTACGTTTAGTACAAGTGCTCTCATGAATTAGGGCAGCACGATATCGGAAAAATCTGCTAGATTTAGTTTTGCTGCGATTATATATTGCGATATGAATATCATTTCACGAGATAATTTGAAGACCTCTATTTGGAAAGATTTCATTCATTTTGATGAACTGGGACGGTCAAGTTTTTTGTCCTCTGCAGTGAATCTGCATAAAATATAATAAATTACAAGCATATATGACACAGTAAAATAAACAATGCTTTATGGTTTTCTAGGGAGTCTAACAGTATTCATGTACAGAAACTGAACAATCAGACATAAAATAAATTAGTCATCATTGTATAAATCTCTTTTTTATTGTAATATTCTGTAATTTCTTCATTGTTTAATCTTTTATAAATGATCTAATCCTGCAATATGATATATTATGCAATATGGCATTAAAATTAAAAAGGCATTAATCCTGCTCATATGGCATTAAAAATAAATAAATTATTGTAAAATGTTACCCAAAACCTGTACATACAAAATGTGTATTTTAGTTCCACTCACTCAACCAATTTTACTTACTATTTTACATTTTAGTTACTGAAAAGAAAAGAATTATATTGGCATTCATTATAGAAAAACATTTATTAACATTAAGCTTTTTGAAATGCATCAAGCTTTTTAAGATGCAAAATAAAATGTTTTCAGTCTATTATGATTTATTTTTTTACTAATGTAATTTAAGCCAATAATTTCTTTATTTCTTAAATATTCAATGAAACCGTATAAGGTAAATACGCTGTAAATGCTGATGTCTTTAATGTGACTTGCGCTTTACCGAGCATCCTCTCAGAGTTTTTAATCACTGTCAAAAACTCAATGTTTTGGAAAAAAAAACTGCAGAAGTAATCCAAAGAAATGAGAGCACACTCCAGTGATTTGTGCTCTTTAAAGCCTCGCCCTGAGCTTTACCACTGCAGGTTTCTTTATATTTTATATTTAAAAGAGATCAATGAACTGCTCCTGTGGTCGGGCTCCATCTCAACCTCGTTTACCCTGAAAGTGTTGAGTGGAACGATGTGAAATGAAGTGAGGTGGATTTTTAAAAATTTTATTTATTTTTTTCCCTCTCGCCTGTCGTGTATTGCTTCTCTCTCACTGCTGATTTGGTTATTTTTTTATTACATTACCGAAGTGCACAGCTGAAGGAGAAATTATGATCAAGGGCAAAACCCTGTTTGACTGCACCGGTGTGCCATGCATCAATGCGATACGCCCATTATTCCCTTTTTCACTCTGGGTCTGCGCTGTGCGAATTGTGTGGGTGCCAAACATAGCACAAAGACACATCTGGTGTATACTAGGAGTGATTTAAAGCTGATTTATTGTTCACCTTAGGAGAAATATAGTACACCCTACAAGGGAAAACTCACTTTTCACATGCTATTTTGTGTGTATGCCTTCAAAAAGAATAAATAATCCCCTATTTTTATTTTTCTAGGACTATGACCTTGTCTGGCTTCATGGACTCCGTTATGGAGCTTGTGCGCTTTGTGGGACTGCTGGCGTCTGAGGGACTCCGTCTGGAGAACTGCCACGTTCTTCTGCTCAACCAGACACTCGCCTTCTATGAGACGGTACACTCCGCTATGATTAACTTAATTAACATGATGTTCTTGGCAGGGTGACATCAGCTGAAGTTCCTGCCTGAGATTTGTGTGTTGATTTTTCAATCGTAGATTTAGCACAACAAGCAGCGATGATGTTGATATCTTTTAGGGATGCACAATGTATATTTCATCATCGATATCGCAGTGTGCAAATCTGTATAGTCATATTGCAAGATCTGTAATTTGAGATTATTATTATTATCCATGAAACACAGTTCAGAACATGTAATTTTTTGGGGGTGATATTGCAAAAAAAAAAAAAAATCACGATATCATGTTTCATATAATTCAATATCGATAATTATTGAATACATTTTACCTGTGCATTTAGGAATGTTAGGATTTAACCACTTTATTTTAATTTACCAACATACCAACTACTAAGGCAATTAATTTTAATAGTCAAAAACAAATATTTCAACAAAATATCTCATATCTTAAAGAGACTTAAACTTGATAAATAAAAAGTTACAAAGTGTGTGCAACTAAGGTAGATCAACACCTGCAAGGTGTGAAAAATCATAATACAATTAACCTCAAACTCTGTAAACAACACCGATTGTGATAATCAAATCTGAGCTTTAAGGTAAAGGAACCAGCCATCATAATTCAAATACATGCTGAGTTGGATGGCTACGTTGCCCCAATGCTAAACTCTCTCAGATTAAATGCTGGTGGCCGGGATGCAAAAGAAAAGAAACCAAAAAGCCACTCTGGCGACATCCTTGCATCCTTTTTTATTTACGATCTCCTCACTGCTGCTAGCTACCGCACACATTTTTTGCATGTGTTGTTATTCTGACCTGAAGTGACAAGCACATGATTTCCTTGACCATTACAATGGGCTTTGCGCTTATGCTCACCTGGCGTCTCTCGTAACCAAACGGCCATCAATCGTTTTCTCAGAGGATGTCGGGTTAATGGAGAAAAGTAAAAAGCACTGCAGTGTTTGGGTGCGCTGTGCTTGTCTGAGGTAATTAGTCTGTCGTTATTACTGAAATGTGTATATTCTATACAAAGCATGAAACAGATTGGTTAGTTTTACTTGCATGAATCGTGGTGCGCTCACCACATTCTGAAAAGTTGAGTTTTTTTCCAATAGGTGCGCTTGCACAACATGTGCACATCGCTCACATACCATTAGAAAAGACAAACTGACACCCTAAGCTCATTGGCATTGCTTCCAAGGCATGTGCTCAGCAGCCCATTTCAATAAAACTCTAGCACTTCTTACCAAATCTTTAAAAAAAATGTTTTATCGATATTGTCAATAAATATCAATAACGATTTTATCACCCAGCCCTAGTGTAATCATTGCAAAGTTTATTTCAATCTAATAGAGGGAAAGACGTATTTTAGTCAGCTTTTGAGGACTGTGATGAATTGAAAAATTTTGGGCGGGAAGAAGGTTTGCAGCTTTAACAAAGAATAATTGTGTTTGTTTAATTATGAAGTTTGGCTGCACAATATATAGTTTCAGCATCGATATTGCAATAGTCACATCTAAGGATCTGCAATGTTCAGCGTAAATGAGAGCTGCACATTGAGAGATTTTCACTTTCAACATTTTACATTGCGATATTTCAGAAGATAACTTAATCAGCTTTTAGATTGATTGAAATGATTTTGTAGGGGAGTTAATTTGCATAAAATATAATTAATTAATTATAATTAACTAATTATCTATAAGCAGAGATGGAGCAAATATACAAAAGGAGTCTAACTGTTCAGGTACATAAATAAAATAATCAAATGTATAATAAAGCTGCTTATTTGTCATTGTATATATAATTAAGTACATTTAATCTTTGTTAAAGCTACAAATAATAATAGTTAATTTGTTTTAAAGATTCTTTAAATTCGCTTCAAATGTTTACAGAGGCCTAAAAATCACTTTCTACTTCATGTTAAATTGAAATGACTCAAATTAGCATGTGTTCTGAACGGTTGTGCCTGCTTAACTACAATCATGACTCCACTTTGCACGTCCTGCGATGTGACTATTGCGGATTCACACATTGCGATATCGATGGCAAAACGATACAGTATTGTGCAGCACACATCTAAATTATAGTTGAGCAGCTCCACAGTTCAGAGCACATAAGACAATTGAGTTGCCGAGTTTAAATGTAATAAAATGAAGGATGTTATACCTTTGCAATTTGATTTAACATTGATTATTTAAACTCGGACCACCACTCGCTCTAATTTACTTGTGGGATGTTTTCCCTGCATGCAAATTTTTCGATGGAGTTCAATTTTTTTTTAACCTGGACTGTGGATTGTGCATTTGAGGCAAACACACCGTGTCATTCACACTGTGCTATTATAATTCCACTTATATTCATGTGTTAGCATTGACCTTGCATGTAATCTACACCCGCAAATACTTAATTCCTCATTTGGTGTGAACCCAGCATTACACTTTCAAACACTGTTTATTTCCCTTTTACCTTTGCTCTTTATTACTTTATTTATTGCATTTTATGCTTGATTCACTCCCCTACAGAATCATTGCAATTAGGGCTGGACAATATATCGTTCTAGCATAATATAATGTGTGTATCCGCAATAGTCACATCGCATAGATATGCAGTGTTGAGTTGACTTTGGCGTGTAACTTTTACATTTACACATACAAAACCATAATGAATGCACTGTTTATTTTACTTTCATCTTTGCTTTGTTGCATTTATCTACACTTGTAGATTGTTTATTACATGTTATGCATGATTCTTTCCCCTACAGAATCATCCTAATCAATAAAAATTAGCCACACTTTAAGGACAATTTCCCACTATTAACTAGATACTTATTAGCATGCATGTTGTTGAGATATTGGCTGCTTATTATTACTTGCATATTCTGTATGATCTTATTCTACATCCCCAATCCTACTCAATACCTAAACTACCTTAATAATATTAAGCAAAAGTCTAAATTGTTTGCCAAAAGTGAGAATTGAACCTTAAAATAAAGCACGATATTGCAATATGTATCGCAGAGAAAAACATATTGCAATGTCAGATTTTTTTTTAATATCGTGCAGCCCTAATTGCAATCAATCCTAATTCATTTGTAATTTCCAAATCAAGCTATAAATAGGCCATCTAGTGAAATTGTATGCATATGGCAATATATATTGCAGAAAAACAAAATATCGCAATGTCAGGGTTTTTCAATATTGTGCAGCATTACAGTAAAGACTATACAGTGTTATTTTGCATGTGCTTATTGACTTTCTGTACCTCAGTACTGCTGGACTCAACCAAAAATGATAAAGAACCATTTATTTCATTTCAATCTTTGATCTATTGTTTTCATCTGTGCTTTAATTAATTTGATTTAGTCAATTTTTGTATATTTTATGCTGATGCACTTCCTTACAAAATCATCCCATTGAATGTGAATTTATAAATTCTTTCCAAATAGTCATCTTGTGAAATTATAATATATTTAGCAGGAAAAGAAAACTGCACTGTCAGTTCTGTTGTCTTTGTGCTAATACAGACATTGCTCTCTCGTTCTGTCTAGGTGTGTGATATGTTTCTCAAGTACAGTTTGCCTCTGATCATCATGCCTCCTGCTGGGGTTTTCTACCCAGCTCTGTTTGCCATAGACTCGATCAGCCTGGATCGGCTCGGCTACATCATGTACAGGTACTGTTTGTGAGCTATAATAGTCTTTATGGGGCGTTTTATCACTTTGAGTCCTGGAGATTTTCTGCTTGAGATGTTAGCGTGGCCATGTTAGATTAAGGGCATCTTGTGGAACAGTTTGTTGTGCTTTTTGGGTGAGTGAGCCGGGTGAGGGGACACCTGTGTGCTGCTGGCTAAGCTAAGGGCAATCGCCTGAGCCTTCAAATGCATTACACTGCCATGGCATGATGCCTGCAAGCAGTAGATCAAATCAAGTATGAAGATGCTTTCATCTGCTTCGACACACAAGCGTTTCAGTTCTGCTGTTTAGACAGCATGGACAGTTCATTCACAAAAATTAAAAGTATTTATTTACTATCATACAATATTCATGGTGGAGTTAAATTTCATGTGAAAAAGAAGTTGCTGAGACTTTTATTTTAGTATGTGGATGTGCTTTCAACTGAAATGGAATATCAAGTAGGGGTCGGGGCTTTCGTTTTGCATATCATTCCCTTATAGCAAACTAATGGTAAGAGGGATATGGTTAAGAATGGTATGGAACATGGAAATAATTGTGGAAGAAAGTGGTCAGACTTTTGAAGATTACCAAAACAGACATTTTTTTCAGTGGATTAACTTGCACAGATTAATTGTTGACTTAAATTATAATTCTTTACATTTATATACTGTATATCTTTTCTGGACACTTAAAGCTCTTTACACATTGGGGGAATCTCCTAATCCACCACCAGTGTGCAGCATCCACCTGGATGACACGACGGCAGCCTCTGGAGAGGAGACAGAGTGATGAAGCTAGTTATGATATGGGGATGGTTAGAAGGCCATGATGGACATAGACCAGTGGGCCAATTTGGCCAGAATCACAGGATTTTCAATGACCACAGAGAGTCAGGACCTCGATTTATCATCTCATCCAAAAGGAGGCGCTCACTGTGCAATATAGAGTCCCAATCAATATACTGCGGCTTATGGACCCCCTGCTGGTCTCCCTAACACCACTTCCGGCAACAACCTAGCTTTCCCATGTGGTTTCCCATCCAGGTGCCACCCTGCTTCGCTTCAGTTGTTGACCATGTGAGAGTTGCAGAGAGCTAGCTGCCGATTAATCCTAATGATTTACAATGTGTGCTAGCAAAATAAGCACTGTAAATTTTGATTTCAGGCAGAATTAAAAAATGTTGAGATATTGAAAGATTATATGAAGCTTCTGCTTTCCCTACTTTGAAAGAAAAAAAAGCTGTAAATTCCAATTCATCTGAGCTCATATGATTATGTGCTAGGAACCGACTTTGTTTTTTGTGTCCTATTTGCTTGCTATATTTTTGGTCTATTTGCATTACTTTCATTGAATAAAATATTCTGAGGGATAAGCCAAATTAAGGAGAGGTCATTGGCAAACTGGAATGTTAATCCCTCATACTGATTCCCTTAAATGTTCTCTTCTGACTTTAAATATAAGTCTATAAGATAAGTCGCTTTTGCTCAAACTGGCTGTTTATTCAATATAAAAAAAACAGCTCAGCGGAAAAAGTAATTTATTTATGTACAATAATTTATTTAGTGTATGTGAAATATTACATTTTAGGCTGTTTTTTTTTTTGTTTTAATACATTTTAAAGTGTAATGTATTCCTGTGATTGCAAAGTGTTTCAGCAACTTTGTTTCTTAATAGTTATTTGAAAATGACTTGTAATAATAATATATGAAAGAGTTTTAAAGAATATTAGCTTTATATACAGTATTCAGCATATATGAGTACACCCCATATTGAAAAAGAATATTTTTCTCCATTTCTCAGTAAAAATGGGTGATGTATATTGATGGATTTGAACAAAACAGATTTATTAAACAGATATATTTATTAAAATAATAATTTAGTCACAGAACATTTCTAGAAATGGAAAGATAACACATTTGAATTCATGCAAAATATTGCAAAAAAAAAAAAATATTACAACCTACACCATTTCAGCAAAATTGTATATATTTTTTGTTTCTTTTAATTTTTGCTATTTTTGAAAATTTTGTATAATATTTTTCCCTAACATATAAATTTGGGCTACTAATTTTTGAACCATCGTAAGTTATTTTGTCAGATTAGCTCTAGATTTGGCTTCAGTACTGACTAAACTAATGTATATGCACAAATAAAATATTGTAAAGCATCCTATAGAACATATCAATTTTTAAATTAGAGATTTGTGGGAGTGTACTAATATATGCTGAGTACTGTAGGTATTCATTCACAGACCCCAGATTTAAGTGCATTTCTGACCTAAAGATATTTGTAGAAAGTATCTTTAATAAAATCAGTAAAATAACATGTTTAACATTAGTAATAAAATCTTGTTGTATCTTTTTCTCAGGTACCGGATGAATCTGACCTTGGCGAAGCAACAAAAGCAGCAGAGAGAGGTAATGAGGACACAGTGTCATAAAACGTACACGGCAAAGTCACGAAAGCCAGCTGTGTGTGTATGCTTGTGGCTTTTTGTGTCTGAATAATTTACTGATAATGGGTAAATTAGAAAGATCTTCAAGCTTTTAAGAATTTACAATGAAGCTCACGGAGGCTGTTGCGGTAAATTCACCTTAGCTGCTGGGGATGAAGAAGAATGGAGCCTTCTTGATTGAATCCCAGTGGGACAAAGGATTTTCAAAATATGAGCACAGCACTGGCATTGCAGTGAATGAAATGGCCAAGTAATTGGATCTCAGCTGTTTCATTTCAAATACATAAATGACGCTTTTTATTCACTCACAAGGTAGTTCTCGTCTCACTTGCAAAATCATTAGATCCCTTTAATCGCACCAGATGTCTTTTTTTTTTTGCTCTTAAACACTTTGTGGAATTTGTTTACACATTTTCCTTAAGTTTTAGGGTTTTTTCACACCTGGCTCATCTGGAGTGTTTGCTTTAAAACTTGGTGCACTTTTTTTTTTTTATTTACTTTGGTTTGGTTCATTTTATACCTAAATGACCAAGGCAATCGTTCACTGATCTGCAATAAAAACAAGAATAATGCAGTCTTGGCCCAATTGGAAAAACTCATTTTGGTTGAGGTGAGATGGCAGTCCAATCCAACAGACCAATGAACCAAGCAGTATCATAATTCACAACAGGAAATGTTGCATTAAAACAGCTGCGTCTGATTTGGTGGCTGAGCACATTATTTAAACCAAGGATCAGTTAGAAAACCCAGGAGCATCTCTTCATCTTGAAATGTTGTGTAATTGCTCTACATTGTGCATCACAAGAATGCCTTGATTCTTGTATTATTAGTTTTCTCAAATACATTGAAAGTAATGAATATTTGTAATTTAATATCAGTTATTGTGGCTTTACCTCTAGCTCTACTTTTACTCTAAACTTCTTCTCTCTACTCCTCTACTGTCACTTTTTATATGGTATGGTGCTTCACATGTAACAAATGACACACTTAAAACAATGAATACCAACACTTGGCATCAGGTACACAAACAAAAACTGAAGCAAATTATGGTCTATTATTAATATTTTTAATCATTATTTTTTATTATATTTGCTTCAGTTTTTGTTTAACTGCAGCAATAAATAAATTGTTTATTCAGTTATTATGTAACTGGATGGCTTCAGGCACAAAAGTAAAATTAGAAAGATTTACGGAACATCTAATTGTCAATAGACGTCTTTCAATAGGCATCCACACAAAATAATGATTGATGACATGATTTTTGATGACATGACATTTAATGATTGATTAAATTTCTTTATTGTAATTGGTATTTTAAAGAATGTTGAAATTGTTAACCAATCACTTTCATAGTATTTTTTCCTACTATGGTTGTTTGTGGCTACTGGTTTCCATAAAATGGTTTGTTCAACAGGAAAAACTAAATTGTGAAGCACTTGAGGTTGAGTTATTGGAGAGTACACTTTCATTTTTGGTGAACTATGCCCTGAGCTACACTCACTTGCCACTTTATTAGGTACACCCGACCAACTGCTTGTTAACACAAATGCCAATCACATGGCATCATGTCTATGCATTTAGGCATGTAGACATGGTCAAGACGATCTGCTGCAGTTCAAACCAAGCATCAGAATGAGGGACAAAGGTGATTTAAGTGACTTTAAATGTGGCATGGTTGTTAGTGCCAGACGGGCTGGTCTGAGTATTTTAGAAACTGCTGATCTATTGGGATTTTCACACTCAAGAGGTATGCAGAAAAGCATCTCTGAATGCACAACACGTCGTACCTTGGCTACGGCAGCAGAAGACCACACCGGGTGTCACTGCTGTCAGCTAAGAAGTCTGATGAGTCTCGATTTTTGCTGCGATATTCGGATGGTATGGTCAGAATTTGGTGTCAACAACATGAAAGCATGGATCCATCCTGCCTTGTATCAAGGGTTCAGGCTGGTGGTGGTGTTATGGTGTAGGGGATATTTTCTTGGCACACTTTGGGCCTAGTAGTACCAACTGAGCATTGTGTCAATGCCGCAGTCTATCTGAGTATTGTTGCTGACCATGTCCATCCCTTTATGACCACAGTGTACCCATCTTCTGCTACTTCCAGCAGGATATCGCGCCATGTCATAAATTGCGTGTTAAGGAGCGTGACTGGTTTCTTAAACATGACGAATTCACTGTACTCAAATGGCCTCCACAGTCACCAGATCTCATTCCAATAGAGCACCTTTGGGAAGATTTCCATTATGAACGAACAGCCGACAAATATGCAGCAACTGCGTGATGCTATCATGTCAATATGGACCAAAATCTCTGAGGAATATTATACCTTGTTGAATCTATGCCACAAAGGATTAAGGCAGTTCTGAAGGAAAAAGGGGTCCAACCCAGTACTTTTAAGGTATATCTAATAAAGTGGCCAGTGAGTGTAAGTCAGTTTCAGAACAATTAAATTGTTTGTAACTTTAATATTAAACACAGTTTATATGGATCAAAACATTGTCAGTTTTTCTTTAACAATTACACCTTCATTCTTGCTTTAGGACAATTTTGAAAACTTTTTTGATCCACTTCAAATCTTAAGTATATTCTCCTGTATTGCAGCAAACGTTCCACATTAGCAGAAACGCATACAAGGAGTTTAACCGGAACCTTCAAACCATGGTGAACTCCATGTGGAATTCCCAGTGGTGCATCCCTGGTTCAGACCTGGAAATCAACAAGGATCTGATCGCTCTGAGCAAAATAGCAGAACCCTGGTGCTGTTTCGACATCATCCACCATCCGGCGCTTTTCAGCTACGCCATCGAGTTTCATCAGCGGGTGAGTGAGATATTCTCGCATGGTGACATTTAAAAGCACAAGAGCCGGTAATGGCACAGCGATGCTTGACTTGTCATAGCGTTTGAAGCGAAGGAGTAAGACTCGGCTGCACAAGCTAATTAGATGATTATATTACATCAAGTGCAAAGCCTTGTGTCACTACTGGGGACAGCAGAGCCTCCATTTTTCACTAATAACTTTAGGATTGGACAAGGAGATAAATGTGGTATTAATGCATCTTTTATAGAGGATCCATTAATACAGAATCACATTTTATTATTCATGGAAGCTGTGTGAGACTGGAATTTTCATCATCTTTAATAATACAAGTACCTTTTTTTGGTCCGACTGCAACATTCAGCAGTGTGTACTACAGAGATTTAAAGCAGAAGGGGGAGAATGATGAATATTTATGTTGTCTTTATCAGTGTTGGCCGGAGCGGAAGGATGTGGATCTCGGTTCCATAAAGGTACTAACGTTATATCATCTGCTTTTATTAAAACGTCTGCGATGAGTGTCTGGTGTGTGTATTATTTCTAATCAACACGGGAGCTTGATTTGATTTAATCATGAACTGATTACTGTACCCCGGGCTGAAGTAACTGTTCTTTTCATCTTTGCAGACCGGGAAGTACTGGAACTGGTACATGGAGTTTCTCTTTAATCAGGGCTTTGATGGACTCAACAACTTTATTCGGACCAACACTGGCCACGGTCCGTCATCGAGTAGTCAAGATGACAGGCAGCCCTTGAGTCAGAATTGTCACTGACAAACCTGTAAATACGAACTGTACATTACAAGCTGTTGTGTTGCTTTCCAGTCTTGTGTATATGTAGCCTTTTTGCTTTCTTTCTTTTGTGCAGAGAAAACAGAACTTAAACATTGTGATATTTTCATGTCTAAGATTGACAGCTTGTATATTATTCATTTAAACAATAAGGCTCTACATTTGTTTCGCTGTTAATAATAAGTCCTTTGTTCCAGTGTGAGTTCCAGTAGTGTTTCAGCCATTAGCTGATGTGTTTTAAAGGGATAGTTCACCCAAAAATGAACATTTACTCCATTTATTCTCCTTCAAGTAGTTTCTGTTAAACTCTAAAGAAGATCTTTTGAAGAAAGCTGAAAAACTGTGGCCATTGACTTCCATTTTAAAGAAAGTAAATCAAACAGGTTTGGGGCAAATAAACAGTGACAATTTTCAGTTTTGGGTGAACTATCCCTTTAACTCATGTCCAAACTCAGTCCTGGAGGGCCGGTCTCTTGCATAGTTTAGCTCCAACTTGCTTCAACACACCTGCCAGGAAGTTTCTAGGATAAGCTTCTAGTACAGGGGTGGCCAACCCTGTTCCTGGAGAGCCACCTTCCTGCAGATTTCAGTTGCTACCCATATCAAACACACCTGAACCAATTAATGAGGACCTGAACACCATGTGATAATTACAGGCAGGTGTGTTTGATATGGGTTGCAACTGAAATCTGCAGGAAAGTGGCTCTCCAGGAACAGGGTTGACCACCCCTGTTCTAGTACAATGATCTCGAACTCAATTCCTGAAGGGCTGCAGCTTGGTTTAGCTCCTACTCACACCTGTTTAATAGTGTCTAGTAGTCTTGAACGCCTTGATTAGTTGGATCAGTTGTCTTTGAATAGGGTTGGAGCAAAACTGTGCCCCTGCAGCCCTCCAGGAATCAAGTTTGAGACCTGTGTGCTAGCAAGAGCCTGATTAGCTGGTTCAGGTGTGTTTGATTAGGGTTGCGAGCTAAATTGTTGAGGACACCGGCCCTCCAGGACCGAGTTTGGACACTCCTGCTTTAACTGAAGGACCTACTGGATTTGCCTACTATTAAATAACCTATTGAGCCTGTGTATATTTGACCCATGTATAGTTTTTAATATTTAAAGCCTGATTGTACTGATAAATGTTGTTAAAAAAGTGTATTTGATTATGACCTGAACCCAGCAAACAATGTTGTGTTTATTAGACGTCTAATGGACACCTAAATGTAGGCAGCTAGGCTAAAACAAGGCTTAACTTGGCCTGCCAGTGAAAATCTAATAGCTATCTTAGAATAGATCAAAACTAGACTAGTCATGGAATACAGAGTAGACAGACTTTGCATATGTAGTGGTACAACTTTTTTTTTTTTTTTTCAAAAATTTTTTTTTTTACTTTTCTTCAATGTCGATTAGATGTTCACTGTCAGCTCAAATTTAGCCTTGCTTTAGCCAAGCCATATTTGTTTAGATATCTATTAGACATCTCTTAGACTTAAAAAAAAAAAAAAAACTAATAAACATCTAAACGTAGATAGCTTAACTAAAGCAAGGCTAAATTTATGCTGTCAGTGAAAATCTAATAGACATCTAAGAATAGCCCAAAAGTAGACTAGTTAAATAGACAGATTTTAAATGTGTAGTTATTAATTTCTGTTTTTTTCATGACTAGTTTTGGTTTATTCTTAGCCAAGACGACTGTTTAGACGTCTATTAGACATCTTTTAAAAACAAAATTCTTGCTGGGAATAGTTGAAAATACGTTTCTGTTATTGTCATTGAACAGGTTCTTATCAATCATTTAAATAGGCTGGGGTTTGTTATGTAAAGAATATACATAGTCTGCTTCTCACTAAATCAAATCCCATAAAGACTGCTTCTTTAAAAATCAATAAAGACCATTGTTTTCCACAGAAACACTGTAAGCATCCCTGAGGTAACTTCCTAGGAAATCTCAGCATCAAGGCAGCGAGAGCAAAAGCTTTGCGTTTTACAGCTCGCCTCATAAATGTGAGCGTCTTCAACTCGCATCACACAGCTCCGCGTTTCTGACGGGCTCTGGAGATCCTCGGTGTGTCGTACTGTTTTCGGTCACGATGCCGTCCAGCAAACTTCACCTGGAGTGAATGAAGAATTCGCGGGATTACAGCTGATGCTTAATCACGAATTGAGGCAGATGTGCAACTTCAACACGATGAATTCCGCGAGCGCTGAACTACGCGGTTTACCTCGCTCGGCTGACGTCCTCGTTCATGTATGAGAGATTATTCGTTCACCGCCGACTGTCCGTTCATCACTTCTTCAATACTCTCATCCCGAAGCTTTCGCCTGAGCGTCAGTGTAAAATGGGAATCTGAAGTGCTTCACTTTCGCAGTTTTCCGGAGAAAAAGGTAAGCCTGTTTGCTGTGCTCGACAAGTGTGGGGATGCTTTCAATTTGGAGACGCGCGTCAAATTAAGCTTGTGATGTCCGTTATTATTAATGCAAAGGCCCGATGATAACTGTCATTCTTAAAGCTTTCTTGTGTCTGTGTCATGGCATTTTGTGGTTTACCGTCTTTCCCAATGCTTTAAGACTAATATTTTGCATATAAGACGCTTAAATTAGACTTTCTACGCTCATTCAAGTTGACGCTGTTCACCCGGGATGGGAATCGTTAAAGAATTAGCAGTTCTAGTTAGGATCGATTGATGTTTCGCTAAGCTGCTCCTTTGGTACTTTTGAGCTAGAAATTGGTGGATTTAAGGAAAGAAATGCAGTTTGTGTTGCATTTACTGCCCTCAGCAGTCGCTTGGCATCTGAGATTAATTCATATTTAGACAGAACAGGTTTTGGCTAACTAGTCTAGGAATAATGCAGCTTGTACCAAGGATTGTGTGTTTGTTGGTTAAATGTTTAGAGTATGAAGCACTATACTGTCGCATAATCCAGAATTGTAAACACATTTATCTCCCGTGTTAACATGAAACATGGTTGAATATGGTTGTGAATGAATTGAGCTAATGTTTATACTGAGCATGCATTGCCTGTATCAGACTACACTCAGAGACTGTTACAATACCCACACTTGTGGACTTGACCACTTGTCTGTTAAATGTATTTCCTGTATTTGCCACAAGTGTGCGTTCGTAGGACATTTAATTAACCAATGAATGAGATGCAGAATTGTGTTGTAAAAGTAACCTTTTAGGAAGTTTTATTAATACATTGCATTTTTAAAGTAATTTGTAAATGCATGTCAAGTAGTCTCTGTGAATGACAGTGCTTTTAAGCAGTTAAACTCATCTCATATTTACATAAAGTATATGATATCTTATTAAGTTTATAGAGCATGATTTATTGAATTATAAACTTGCTCTTCAGTTTTCCTTGACATCTTGTATTTAAGGGGCACATTCATTTCTGAACATGATAAACGATTGGCTGTGCTTGGCCTTAGAAATCATTGTGAAGTGGTTTTAGATTTTGGATTCACACTTGCTGATTTGGTTCTATTAAAACAAACATTGGTGCAATTGCTCTGCTGTTCACTTATAAAAATGTGATTGTTGCCGTCTGTATACTGGTGTGTACCAAACAGGGGGAACAAGTCCACTGAGATATGGACCAAATTATGTAATTGAATCAAAAACAAGCCATATCACAAAATGTGACCATGACAATCACAAACAGGCTGCCTAGTTTTGCTGTTCTTAGTTGCGGTGCACACATTGCAGATAAATAAATCAGTCTGGAATGTGTCACTTTGTAGAAGAACTTTGTGTGCAGTAGAGAAATTCCTGGTTCTGTTTAACATTTCAAGTGTGAACAACACTGTAGTACTAACTGTCTATCTTGCACACATACTGTGGGTTTCTCCAAATTGACTGGGATCACAAGTGTGAGTGTTGGGACCAGCCCAGCAGTCTTAAGTAGTGATTAATTCTTCTGGACTGTATGGTTGATGTGTTTTGCTTGAGACTCAGTATCCGTAGTATAGGAAACAATAGGTTTTAAGTGACTGAATGTATCAGTGTTAGGGTAATGCTTTACCAGGAAAAAATAAGTGGGTTATACAAAAAGATTGCTTTTTCAAGTAACTAATGTAATGGGATGCATTACTTTTTTTTCTTACAAGAGAACATATCAGTTAATTTTTTCATAAAAGTAATGCCAGGTACTTTAACTTTTTATATACATTGCTTAACAGCATCCTGTCCCAGTGTTGAGAGAAATCAGGAGGAATTGCAAATTTGTTTTGTGTACTGTAGTTCAAGCTTAAATGTTATATTTGTGTTTAACGATTAAGTGCTTAAATCAAATTAAATATTGGAATTGTTTAAGGGATTGTGGAAAAGTATAATTGTTTAAATTCTTACTATGTGTTAAGTGTTTGTGTGTAAATTAGTTTTGACATATCTGATACTTACCTTATGAGTGGTAGGTCCCAAAAAAGGCGGGAGTTTGGCCTAAAAAGCAGCGTCTAAAGCCCAAGACCTTTGTGTGTTAACCAAATCAGCGAGAGTGTTACAGGGGTACATCGAGCAAACCCCCTTGTATGTATATTGAAAAACCTTTTTTTTTTTGTTTTTTTGTACACAGAATACAATTTGAAGTCAGAAGTATTAGCCCCATTTTTTATTTTATTTTTCTGTATTTTCCAAATGATGTTTAACAGAGCAAGGAAATTTTCACAGTATGTCTGATAATATTTTTTTCTTCAGGAGAAAGTCTTATTTCGGCTAGAATAAAAGCAGTTTTTAATTTTTTTTAAATCAATTTTTAGGTCAAATTATTAGCCCCTATTTGGGGGCTATATTTTTTTGATAGTCTACAGAACAAACCATCATTATACCCTAACCTGCCTAGTTAAGCTAATTAACCTAGTCAAGCCTTTAAGTGTCACTTTTAAGCTGTATAAAAGTGTTTTGAAAAGTATCTAGTCAAATGTGATTTACTGTCATCATGAGGAAGATAAAATAAATCAGTTATTAGAGATGAGTTATTAAAACTATTATGATTAGAAATGTTGAAACAAATCTCTCTGTTAATCAGAAATTGGGGAAAAATAAGAAGGGGGGGGCTAATAATTCTGACTTCAACTGTATATATATATATTTTCATCTTTATTTTGTTGTTTCTTTGGTACTTTGGATTTTTATCTTTTGGACATTTGTATATTCTTCACTGTGGACTGTTTTTCATTCATCATTTCAGCCATCATTTTGTTTCCCCCTGAACCCAATTTTCCCCACCAGAGTTAGCTGAGGCCTACTCTTACATGTACTCATCTCACCTGCACATAACCAAATTCAGCTTATTCCCTTAAAATTAATAAAAAATGAAATGTAAAATCAAAATAATAGCTGATGAAGAGTGTTTAACTTTGTGTCATTCATTCTTTTCTTTATGCAGTCTAGAAAGACAGCACAGTTGCACAGATGTGAATTCACTGTACATTTCCTTCAGCATGAGGTTTCTTCACTTAACATTTTACTTTTTGTATACAAAGTCGTACACTTGTCAATTTGTTTTATATTATTATAACCAAGGGTGTAGGGCTAGCTCGATATAAATGATATTATATCCAATTGCGATTTAAAATTTATCAATAACAATCAGGAGCAGATTTAGTGATTTTGAGGCCCTAAGCAATTCCAGCCATAGGGCCCAAGTCCTGAAATGCACCCTTTCTACTTTAATGTTTTTTATATTGCTGTCTTTTATATCACTTAATCTTCTTTTCAACATTTTAAATTAATGCAATCTCTACATTTTAAAGAACTTTTCTTGAAATGAATTTACAACTAAAAATAATAAATATTTTTCTTTATAAATGTGACTGCTGGACTGCTCCATAATGGACATTTTATTTTGTAATATTATTATTATTAACATTACATTATAATAATATTACATTTGATTGTATATTGAATAATATTTAAGTTAAAATTGTACTTGTTTAATTCTCATTAAACAAACTATGGTAGAAAACAATGTTATAGCCGTATAGATTATAGGTAAAATTAATACTTCTAGATATTTATTGGGGGCCCTCAGATTTTCTGAGGCCCTAGGTGGCCGCTTACCTTGCTTATTGGTTAAATCTGCCCCAATGACAATGATAAGCTCTGTACTTTTTCACTCTATATTGATCCAAGAGCCAATCACACAGCAGAAATGTGCAACAATGCTAATCTAGAAGTGTGTTGATATTAAAGATGTACCAAATTTTTGGCCACCGAAAATTTATCAGCCGAAAATGTGTTATGCCATTTAATGGACCCTCTAATTTTTGTGGCTTCAGTCAAAAAAATAAGTCAATCTTAATTCCGGAAACATTAACAACTTCGAAAAATCGGAAAATATTTTGTTATCATTCAATATGGAACATAATTATTGCGGTCGCATTTTTTCCATTTTGACCAGCCATACAAGGGTGGCATGGTGGCTCAGTGGTTAGCATAGTAGCCTTGCAGAAAAAAAGGTCGCTGGTTTGTGTCCCTGCTGGGCCAGTTGGCATTTCTCTGTGGAGTTTGCATGTTCTCCCTTTGTTGTGGTGTGGGTTTCCTCTGGGTGCTCTGGTTTCCTCCACCGTCCAAAGACATTCGCCATGGGTGAATTGGGTAAACCAAATTGGCCATAGTGTATGAGTGCGTATGAATGCGAGAGTGTATGGGTGTTTCCCAGTACTAGGTTGCAGCTTTAAGGGCATCCACTGCGTAAAACAAAAACTCGGAAGAGTTCATTCCATTGTGGCAACCCCTAATAAAATGAATGAACAAATGAATGAATGATATTACAAACAAGCCAAGCTCCGATGAGAAAAAGTAATCTATTGCATTACCTTACTTAATAAGTAACTAAGTAATATATTTAGTTACTTTTTAAAGAAGGAATGCAGGACTGTAATCAGGGGCGCCGCTGGCCGATACGGGCCTATGAAAACATTTCATGGGGGTAGAGGACGAAAGTGAAGAGTGGGGGTGCCACAGACAAAAGTGACGGAGGATGCAGTGTCGCAGACGCAGGTGTTGTGGGGATGATTCCGCGGGTGAAAGTGTAGCACAGGGAGAGTAAGGATGTTGATACACAGCTGGCTGGAAGGGCGATATGCACATCAATATAGCAGCATTTTTTATGACACTGTATAACAATATTTCATATTTTAACAGTACTGTGATGGTTGGGTTTAGGGTTGGGGTGGGGGTAAGCATTAAAAAATACAATTTATTGGGTAATTTAATAGATAGCATGAACAATACTCTGTGCAACTACTGTTTTTACGTTACTGTTTAGGGTTGGGGTAGGGGTAGATGTTAATAAAATACAATAAATGTGAAATTTAATAAATAATACAAATAATTGTGGTTAACTTCCGTCCGCAACCATATCCGATCTAGCAACAACCG